CCTTAAACTGAATGATGTCACTCTAGAACCAGAAGTCCTGGGGAGAGAGGATTCTCATGGGAGCCGTAGGTCTGCAACCTAACCAGTTTCTAGATTATGGCTGTAGAATGGGAAACATCCTATATAAGATGGGCATTTTAGCAACCAGCAGGTTCCAGCCCTGAAAACGGCCCATTCCAAATCTTTTAAAATCTAACAGGGTGGTCTGTGTGTCCAGAGGAAACACTCAACATTTGTCCAGGGATCTTGGGGGAATGGAGAGGCAGGTGGAAGGGTTGTGGGGGCAGGGAGGGTCTTTGGTTATGGATCTGGCCCCATCAGCTGAGCTGCATGTTTGGGAAGGTGTGCAGCATCCACAGCAACCAAGGCAGCTGTAAGAGGTGCCTTCCTCTCTGGCGTGAGGTATTCAGTTGGTCCCCCAAGGGACTCTGCCACCAGGGCAGGCAGGTAACACTGAAGAGGAGGAGGCCAACGACGATGACAAGAAGAGAGGCCACCGCCCTGTTTTGGCCCTACGTGGGATCCAGCTCAAAGACGCTGTCGTCAGTTGGCGAGGTGAAGAAGCAGCTCTGGCCAGAGGGGGGGCGCCGGCTGGCCCTGCTGAGCCCCAGCGACTTCTCAAAGTCCAGCAGCTGACCCATGAAGTTGAAGTTGGGCGAGATGTTGGACTTCTTCCGCTTCACCAGATCGTAGGCATCGTTGAGGGACAGGTTGAGCTTCTGCATGAGGTAGGCTACAGTGACCGTCACCGAGCGGCTGATTCCCGCCAAGCAGTGCACCAGAATGCCGCAGTTCCGGGACAGGGCCTCATCTGGGACAGAGAGGGAACGAGAAAGGGAAAAGGTCGGACGCGTGAATATGGCTGCACTGGGGGGAAAAAAAAATCAGAGACATCACCTTGCCAACAAAGGTCCGTATAGTTAAAGCCATGGTTTTCCCAGTAGGGAAGTATGGAAGTGAGAGCTGGACCATAAAGAAGGCTGATCACCGAAGAATGGATGCTTTTGAATTATGGTGCTGGAGGAGACTCTTGAGAGTCCCATGGACTGCAAGAAGATCAAACGCATCCATTCTTAAGGAAACTAGCCCTGAGTGCTCACTGGAAGGACAGATCCTGAAGCTGAGGCTCCAAGACTTTGGCCACCTCATGAGAAGAGAAGACTCCCTGGAAAAGACCCTGATGTTGGGAAAGATGGAGGGTATAAGGAGAAGGGGACAACAGAGGACGAGATGGTTGGACAGTGTTCTCGAAGCTACAAACATGAGTCTGAACAAACTGCGGGAGACAGTGGAAGACAGGAGTGCCTGGCGTGCTCTGGTCCATGGGGTCATGAAGAGTCGGACATGACTAAACAACAACAAAACTGGGGCTGTAAGGGCTGGGGCAGAGAAAAAAGTGGGGATGAGGGAAGGGTGGCAGGACAAGGGAGGCAGGTGGGGAAGAACCCAAGGGGGGGGATGAAAGTTCAGATTAAGAGCAGCGCTGAGGATATCCTGCAACTTCACTAGTGAAGAACTCAACTTCCTAAGGATCCTATAGTAACTTGATATATATATCAAAAAGCAAGTTTCTAGTCCTCAGGATATATATAGACACCACTGACTGCTGAGATTTCACTAGCCAGCGTGGGGCTGATTCAATAGGATTTAAGTGCCCCACATACTGCCATGTTCCTCCAACTATATGAAGCAACTAAGAAAGATGTAGATATGCTTGGTCACATAATTGATACATGTCACCGAATTGCTTTGCTCCCCGCCCTGAATAAAAGTGATCTTGCTTTGACTTTTCACACAGACAGGCTTGCCTAAGGACCACCGCAGCAGGGCAACGGCCCTTTGCATCCTGCTGGGGAGAAGCCAGATGGAGACAACTTTGACAAAAGGTCCTTGGTGGGCGTCATCTCTCCTAAACTGTCCCAGAGACTATTCTTCCATCACTCTAATTCTTTTTTAAATGGAAGATTTTATGCTGAATTTTCCAAAGGAAAAGTCTGAGAATTGTATGTCCACGATTGCATGCACTGCAGCAGCATATTTCAAACTGTGCCAAAGAAACACAAAATCTAGGTTTAGAAAAGAGTGTGCAAATTGTTCTCTTCTGGCTCCAGTTCCAGAAAGGCTTGCAAAGAATTTGGAAGTTTGGGGGCAAAAGGAAGTGGGCAGCAAAAGAGAGAATGAAACACTGAGGAAAAGGGCATTCGAGCTGACATTAGAGGATCAGGGGAGAAAGCTCAAAAAATAGTTGTGGCCCATGATAAGGGACAAAGGTAGGGAGTTTGGGGGGGGCAGGCACCCCCTTTCCTAACCACCAGAAGGGAGGGGAAGTGGAACGGAGTTGCTGGAATCCTGAACAGCAACACTCAACACTGCAACATTTTGTTGCAAGGCTCCGCTTGCAAGAAGCACTTTGTGAAAATTTGAGTGGCCAAGCAAAGTGATTAGAATGAGGAATGCAAATAAGTCAGTTTATGAGAATGCATTAACTCTGTTGAACAGAGAGAGAAGGGAAAATGCCTCTCTTTGAAGATGCGGTCTACGTGCCACAAGTTTTGGAAATGTTTGGTTTAAAACTGTAAACTTTTTAAATAAGAATTCTCTGTTTTATCAATCAGAGGCACCCGAACAAAATATTTTAAAATAATTAATCTGGCAAATTCATCAATGAAGCATTGCAGGCCTAGTTGGTACCCAGGCATCATATTCTGTAGGGTACTCTACAGATGATGCAGGAACAGAACCAGTCTGAGGATGCACAGACCACAGACCTCGCTGTGTGCACACACTGAAGCTGCTCAGTGAGAAAGAAAAGGGGGAGGCTGGCCAACAGCAAAGAATCAGTTTGGGAGTGTAGGAGACTTAACGTCAGGGAAGACTGCAGGTCTGTAACGCAAAGGAAGAGTGAGGTCCCTAAAAGACATGGGATGGCTGGAGGGGTCAGTTAACCCAGCCCATGTAGTAGATACATTGAGCAAGGGTGATCCAAAGGGTGATCTACATTGCTCACCACCATCTAGGGCTAACCTGATGCCTTCAGCAGGTAAAGGACTCCTACTCTCCAGCAGCACAAAATTCAAAACAGATCAGTATGGGGCTGCTTGAAAACTGTGCCTGCTGAGAGTGTCATGAGGACAAGCCAGAATGGAATGGCACACCATCGTGTTGCCTTCTCCCTGGGGTGCTTAATTACTGTACCTCATCACTAAAGATGCAGATCAACTGGGAGCCCCACAAGTTCTAAGGACTTTGCCTAGTAAGCTGCCTGAGGACCCATGAGCCTTATTCCTGTACAGCAGGTATGGGGAACTTTTGTTTCTCCAGATGCCACCAAACTACAACTCCCCTCAGTCCCAGCAAGCATAGCCAATGGCCAGGGATGATGGGAGTTGTAGTGCAGCAACATCTTGTGGGTGGGGGTGGAGGGCAAAGGTTCATCCACAGGTGATGCACAGGAAGAAACTAGGAGGCAAAGCTCTGGCCCCACTGACTTTGGGCAAGGCCTTTGGATCACCCAAGCCAGGGATGAATACTGGAAGCCAGGCCTCCTGCCCTTCCTTGGTCCTACCTGACTTTAGTTCAAGCACCAGCAACTCACCATGGGGACCCTGGCTTGGAAAACCACCCATTTTCAAGTGTTTCTACCTGCCCACTGGCCCCCAAAACTAGATGCACTAGTGCAGGCATCCCCAAACTCGGCCCTCCAGATGTTTTGGGACTACAATTCCCATCATCCCTGACAACTGGTCCTGTTAGCTAGGGATGATGGGAGTTGTAGTCCAAAAACATCTGGAGGGCCAAGTTTGGGGATGCCTGCACTAGTGGGACAATCTCTGGGGTGTTGGTCTCAGCTCCTTACTCACTTGCAAGTCCCAGGGTACTGAAAGTTCCCAAGTGGTATGTTACAAAAAACTGCGGTAGACACAGTGTTTCTAGGTTCTCTGCCTCCTTATGAATCAATCATGAATCACAGAATTGGAAGGGATCCCGAAGGTTCATCAAGTCTGCCCACCCCCGCCAACATGAAGACACAAAGGTGAGTGACGGGGCCCAACTAGTAGTCAGCCAGCTGTGAGCTGAAGTGAGAGCCAGTTGCCTCTCAATGGACTCAGATGACTTCTCAGGGACACAAGCCCTATTCCCTCAAATGCTTTGCAGGGGCCATGTGAATGGCCAGCCACAGGAAAACGCAAGCGGGAGGCCAAGGGTGGGGTTTTCTGCCTGCCTTTCCCTTCACTCACCAATGAACTCAATGGCCTCAGGGAAGAACTGAGAGAGGTTCTGGCTCCAGTGGTCCGAGATAGGGATCTGCTTGTAATGGAAGTCGCCGTTCTTCTCAAAGAGGTTGGGCAGGTTGGGGGTGACGTTGAGGATGTAGCGGATGCCCAGCTTGGCCAGGGTGTCCATGTTGGCAGAGTCACGGGCGCTGCCCAGGTAGAGGTTGGGTAGAATCTGCACGGGGAAGGAGGGGGGGCTCGCCCCTTCCGACTCCATCCCGCTGCTGAGGGGCCCCGACTCTGCATCGGAGCAGTCGGAGCTGAGGCTCAGGCCGCCCAGTCCCACCACAGGAGCTGCCGGGGGCACAGGTGAGCTACTGGCACTGGCTGTGTCCAGGTTGGTCTCACAGAGGTGCGGCCATTCAGCCTGAAATTTATGGAAGCCTCCTGCAAGGAAGGACAAAGCCAAGAGACAACTCAGCAGCAGCACAACCACAGTTGTTACATGCAGAATTAAAGCACTGACAGTGGAGGTTCCCCTGTCATAGTGGGGACACCCTTTCCTATAATAATTATTAACAATAATAATTTATTATTTGTACCCTGTCCTGAGTTGCACCAGCCTCTCTGGGCGCTTCCAACAGAATATTAAAAACATAAGACATTAAACATTAAAAAAAATCAGTTCAGATGTCTCCTAAAGGTTATATAATTACTCATCTCCTTAAAATCTAATGGGAGGGCATTCCACAGTGTGGGCGCCACTACTGAGAAGGCTCTCTGCCTGATTCCCTGTAACCTCACTTCTTACAGCAAGGGAACTGCCAGAAGGTCCTCGGTGCTGGACCTCAGTGTCCAGGCTGGACAACGGGGGTGGAGATGCTCCTTCGGGTATACAGGACCAAGGACATTTAGGGCTTTAAAGGTCAGCACCAACACCTGGAATTGTGCTCAGAAATGTACTGGGAGTCAGTGTAGGTCTTTCAGGACCAGTGTTATATGGTCCCAGCAGCCACTCCGAGTCACCATTCTATCTGCTGCATTCTGGATTAGTTGTAGTTTCCAGGTCAAAGGCAGCCCCATGTAGAGCGTGTAGTAGTAGTCCAAGTGGGAGATAACTAGAGCATGCACCACTCTGGCGAGACAGTCTGCAGGAGGCAGGGTCTCAGCCAATGTACCAGATGGAACTGATAGACAGCCGCCCTGGACAGACCTGCGCCTCCATGGGCCGCTGTGAGTCCTGCACACCTGGTCCTTTAGGGGCACAGCTACTCCATTCAGAACCAAGGAGTCGCCCACACCTGCCCCCCTGAAGCAGTACTTTTGCTCTACCCATATCCATGACTTCCTGTACAGTTAAGAGGCAGTCAGGAGCTCCAAGTCCTGAATCCTTTCTATTGGAGCCCAGACCTCTTGCCTCCACTTTAACACGCCCCCCCCCTTGCTTACAGATGCTGCTGCAAAGTGTTGTGCCGGGAGATTGTTTGTTTACAGACTGTTGCCTTGGTGATATTACCTTTTGATTGCAGAAATCTACAGGGCATGTTTATCATAGATTACATAACAAAACGCTTTAACTGCTACCATTCCAGGCTTTTTACATTTTTTAAAAGAGCACAGAATCGTAGACCTTGAGGATCATCTAGCGCCAACCCCTTGCAATGCAGGAATGTGCAGCTGTCCCGAAACCTGCAATCCTGGCAGTCTTCAGTGTTGTGGGAGCAGGGGTGAGGAGAATTAGGGAGACCTGGTGAAAAAGGGCCGTGCTCCTGCACTTTTAATAATTGCGCACAAGAGAGAATTTCAGAGCAGCTTGCACTGTGTGGGGGGAAAACCTGCGTTTTCATCTTCCACCTAATCACTGTTTCCAAAGGACAAAGTGAGCAGCGAACTACATGTTAAATGCTGCTGGGTGTAGCTTTGCCTCAATATATTTTTAAGACCATCTCACATGAAAAGCTAGCCGCAGAGAGAGGTGCAATCGTGAGTGGAAGATCTGTGGGTGGGAAGGAGAAGCTTTGCCTACGTTGCTGAAAATCACTCACAACTACATTTCTCTCCATGGAGGGAAAAACACAGGTTCAAGAATATTTTCCCTGATGTGGAGAAAAAGAGATGAAGGGGTGATTTTGAAGAGACAACCACCGCTGCTGGTGGAAAGGTTAAGCAGTCCCTCTACCCAACTTTGCTGAAAAGCTACAGTCAAAATAAATAAATAAAGAGTATCAAAGTTACACATAACTGTGCACTGTGTGCAGTTTGGTCTTGAACGTTCAAGTTGTAGTTTGGCAACCCTACAATTAGTCAGTCAATAGGTGGACCCGGATTAAGGGTAGCCAACCTGGTGCCCTCAAAATGTTGTCGAACTACAACTCCCATCATCCCTGACCATGCTGACAGGGACTGATGGGCCTTGTAGTCCATAATCTGGAGGGTGCCCCGTGGTCTAGCTAAGGGGTAGCCAAGGGCTCAATCACAGCAAAGCTCCATGCACAAAGTGGGAGCTTCATATACTCTGCTGTAGGAACTAAAGTGGCATTCTCATAGTTTGGACTGCACTGGTGGCACACTTGCCAAAAGGCTTGCTGAGATTTAGAGTCGCAAACTGATGATGGGGGTGGGGGGTGGATTGGCAAGCTCTTTTGCATTTAGCAGCAGCATGTTGTGCAGAAATCTGCAAGTGAAGCTTTTCACAGCATTGCAGAGAATCACCATTTGCTAAGGGCCTGCAAATCAAACCTTTGTTAAAAGCACAGCTACAATGGCCAGTTGAAAAGCTGGCAGCCTTATTCACTACTGTTCTTCTATTCTGGCTCCCGGCCCGGTTGCTCTGATGGGTCAGGCCTAGGGTGATACTTAACAGGCTTGGGCAGCGGCCAGGGAAGTTTCCCAGGGCAGGCCTGTGCTGCGTTGCCATCCAACCCCCCACCCACCCACCCTGGCAGTCCCTCTTGTACATTTAAGAGCTGGGTGATAAAGAAGACCTTGAAAGCATGCAGATGTAGCCAGGGGAAACACTTCACTTTCTGAGTTTCTGTACTTCAGGACTTCCTTTTTTTAAAGTCACAATAACAAATGAACACAGTACCCCATCAGTTTAAAAGTCCTGGAAGATGCTTTTGCCGGGCGCCTAAAGATATGTAATGAAGGCACCGGGCAAACCTCCCTAGGAAGAGACTTAAAATCTCAGGCAGGTGTGAGGAACCAGTGGTACCTTCCAGATGTTCCTGGACTCCAGCTCCCACCATCCCCCAAGCCTTGGCCATGTTGGCTGGAGCCAATGGGAGTTGGAGTCCACAAGAGGGATACAGGTTCCTCCATCTCTGATACAGGATAATATTCCTGGCTAAGGTCACTAGGAAGGGATGTGTAACAAGACCAAGACTGTGTCCACACCCCAATTTACTGTGTCCTCACTGCACTTCCAGGGCTGGGTTTGTAATCCATGTTCCCACAGCATTATCCAAAATACATACGTATCCTGCACTTTGTTATCAGATGCTACCGTTTGAGGCGTTGTTTCTCAAACTAGCTTCACACTTGATTGGAGGCCTTTAGCCATTCTGTAATTCATCTCTAGCCAATGTGTTGCAGGGTGAAATCATTCGCTGCCTTGTCCCCCCACCCCACGTGTCCCCTGTGTGTTGCACAAACAAAAACTAACTGAACTCTATGGTGCTAATATGGACACACCCTTATGCCAGGTCAAACCCCAGGTCTAACCCTGATGGCCAAGTTCTGCCTCGGCTGTCAGAGGCAGCAATTCTCCTGAGTTCCAGTTGCTGGAAACCTGCTCTGCCCCGTTGCCAAAGCTGAAAAACTGCTGATTAGAGCAGCTGGGGGGACGGGACATGGCAGTACACGGATGGGTGCAATTGTGGTTATCTGCTCTCCTGATTCAGCAGCAAATTTAAAAACAGAGGAAATCTCTGGCTTGAAATCTGGCAACAATATTCCCTGCTCCACTGGAGAATGGACTGGTTAGGGGAAGGGTCCACAGCTCACAGGTAGAGCACCTGCTTTGCATGCAGAAGGCCCCAGTTTCAATCCCCAGCATCTTTGGGAAGGGTTGGGAGAGGACACTGCCTCAAACCCTGAAGAGAAGCTGCCAGTCAGTGCAGACAACACCAAGATGGACCAATGGCCTGACTGGAATATAAGGGAGCTCCCACATCTTTTAGGCAAGGGCCACAGCTCAAAGGTAGAGAGCATCTGCTTTGCATGCAGAAGGTCCCAGGTCCAGTCACCAGTATTTTCAGGTAGGGCTGGGAACACCCGGCCCCCGAAACCCCAGAGAACCTTTGCCAGTCAGTGTGGCTTGTCCTGAGACTGATGAGGTGGACTCAACATAGGGCAGCCCCCTAGGAAAGAGATAAGTTTCCATATGTCGGGTAGCCCTGCCCCATCTCCCACCTCCACAAATCCTGCTTTCCTCAGCACACCCACCTTGCAGGTAGTAGGCGGGGCAACCTTCATCCCGCAGCTTCTGCAGAAGCGTCACCAGCACTGACCCTTCGTCCTCCTCCTGGCTCCCTGGTGCAGGGCAGCTGGAGCGTTCCCTCGTCATAGAGGAGCACCGTGCTATCCCTGAGGGCCTGGGGAGGCCCCGGCAGCAAGGACCCGACTGAAAGATTCCCCTTCCGGAGACGACGTAGCAGCAGCCCCGGGAGGGCCACGCTCAGAGCCCGCTCCACGTGGGACGAGTCGTACAGCTCCCGGCTGCGGCAGTCCAGGATGTGGAGGCACGGAGACGGGGAGGCCAGCTCAGCCCGCAGCCACGACGTGGACTTTCCCAGGTCTTCCATGTGGCTACAAGCCACGGTCTGGAAGATGAGAATCTTCACGGTCAAGACTGCCCAAGCCAACCCTGCCAAAATCTCAGAGCGCCGCCTGGATTTTCCCCACTTGCAATGAAGCTTGCCACTTCCAGGACCTGAAAAAGGGAGTCTGCAGGGAAAGGTTTTGTCCAATTGGCAGATTGTTCCAAACTCAGGATCCAAAGTCCCAGGTGCCTTTGCCCTGAAGGAATCGCTACATCATGTTACCCATCCATCGCAATCCAAACAGCCTGGGCTAGCAAAGCAAGAGGAGGGTACAATGAGGGGTGCCTCCATGTGTGGAAATCATCCTTCAGTCTCTTTTTTTGGAGGGGGGAGAAAGGAAAGGAATGGTATGGTGCCCAGCCTCTCAAGAGGTGAAAGTAGAAAAGGAGAGATGGGTCTCAGGGCTTTGTGACAGCCTGGAGGAGAAGAGGCTACAGAGGATTCTCGCAGAAGGAGGGAAAGTGGCTTCTTGGACACTCCGCTCAGGATCCTGACCTGCCTTACCGCTGTGGTTTCCCTAGTGCTGCCATGCAAGGGGAGATCTTCCAAATCAGGGTCAGCTGCAGCCAACCAAAATTAGGATCGCAAGTTGTGCCAGATTAGCCTCCCCTGTCTCTGCGTGTGAATCCAGCTAATATTGTTCCTGAGAGTTACCGGTAGATCTCTGCCAGTCAAGGAGAGCCACAACTTGTGTCCCAGCCTGAAGAAAAATCCCTCGATCCTCCTGCCAGCTGAAGTCTATCCAATGTCGCTGGAGAGGATGTGCTGAAGCAGAGGCCAGGGAGGCGTGGGTCTGTGGTAAGCTGGCATCCAGGTAAGCCAGTGGGGGGGGGTAGGTAGAAAATGAAGGGGGGAGAGAGGGAGAGGGAGAGAGATCCAGGCTCTGGGTACCAAGAACAGCACCTCAGGCTTCCAGAGAAGAAGGGGATGCTAGCACAGATCCTGGAGGAACCTGCAGTGGGAAAGCAAAACGGGAGAGTGAGGCTGGGGAGTGAGGGAGAGGGAGCACACAGGCAGCAGGCTAAGGGAAACAGGGGAAGTGCGTGTTCCCTTCCTGGCACCTTGCTGTCCCCTCCATCCTGGCCAGATGCTGACGAGAGACTTCCTGGCAACCAGAGGGAAGACAGCAGTAACTGCCAAGAGTCGGATGACAACATAGGCTGTGTACACACTGCAGGCACCCGGGGCTTTCATTCCTTAATTTCAAACCAGCCACATTTTGCACACCCAGGAAGCTTTTCGCTCTGAATCCCAGATGTGTGTGGGGTGACTAAAGGCAGTCGGCGTGGGCGCAGGAGGGGAAGAGGCACTCCGCACGAGCTCAGAAGCACCCTCTACTAAGGACCATAGCTCCAGTGGAAAGAGCACATGCTTTGCGCCTGAGCAAAGGTCCCAGGTTCAACTCTTGGCTCGTCCACCTAATGGAGCTGGGAAAGGGCTCCGTCTGAGACACAGGACAGTCACGGCCAGGCAGTGCTGAGACAAAGGGACCCAGGCTGACTCAGGACAGCGGCTTCTTGCGTTTCTTATACTTTAGGGTTTCAAAAGGAGGAAGTTGGCAATTTCCTTATTCATGCTTTTCAAAACTATTGTGCAAATCTCTATGTCCAGTTACAGATTATGAATCAGTGGCACATACAATTAATTTATTGTATTTAATCAATCCAGAATAATCACCACCCTTGGCTCCATAATGCTCAGTCGTATTTAGGGTTGTCAACACCTAACCCCACCCCTAAAAAACCCTGCCCCATAACCTGGCCTGCTCTTTTCCCTTTAAGAGGTGATTGATCTACAGAAAATCAGCAGAAAAAAAGCTTTTTGAGGCCTAGAAATAAACATCACAGGCTAATGCTCACAGATCAAGTGCTTCTGCTAAACATGCAGGTGCAAGAGCTGGTTGAAAAGTTGGCCAACCTAAAGCTGAGAAAGATTAAAGCCTCCACTCAGCAAAACAGAAAAGCACACATCTATTCAACAATGCTTATATAATGAACACAAGCAGGAGAAATTAATCAGCATTTTACAAGTTCCTAGTATTATTATTATTATTAGCAGCAGCAGCAGTAGTAGTAGTGGCATTTATTAAATTTATACAGGCAGCAGTGTTTTAGGCACATCCGATATGTGTGTGACCATGCTGAACTTGGAAGTAACCTGAAAATGTCAGAAAAAAGGGAGGGATGGGGCCGGAACGGGGTGTTTGCAGGCTTTTTCAATGGTGTTTCAAATATACAATATTTCACTTAAACGTGCAGTGCCTTGGAATGTACCACCCATGTAAATTGGGAGTTGCCTATACTGCCCTTCATCTAAAAATCACAGGGAGGCTTACAGCATAAAAATACAAAATGAGAACACAAAATACATAACAAACAAAACAAACAAATCAATAACCCCTCTCCCACAAACACACAGAAAAGGCCACAGATCGTTTAAAGAGTCAAAGGCCTGGTTGTAGAGGAACATTTTCACCTGGTACCTAAAGACATATAATGAAGGCTCCAGGCAAGCCTTCCTGGGAAGAACATTTCCTAAGTGGGGAGCCACTGCAGAAAAGGCCCCTTCTCATGTAGCCATCCTGAGGACCTGTTAGACAGTGGACCTGTCAGAGGACCTGTCAGACAGTGTTAACAGACAACTCTTCCTCCTCTAAGATCTAGGAGAAGTTTGGTGGGGCTTTCCTTTGAGTTAGGATGCATAAGTTTGGTTTAGATCCCCCCCCAAGGGCTTTTTTATGCAGGTCTATTGTGTAACATGACATTCAGGCAATACTAGAGCACTTGTCGTGGATTTATACTGGACCTTTTACACATCATTCTGCTTTATGAGCTGTTCTGTGATGCTTTCCCCATGTTGCCACATTACTGCCGTCTAGAGGGGCACCACTGCGCTATAGTCAACACAAGCGGGACAAGACTCTTCTTCCAACAGGCTTTTGGGAATTGACTGCTTTTAATGAAAAGGCTGGTGCTGTGCTTTTTATTGTAATTATTTGTATGTTTTAAACATATTTTATATATGTACAGTCATACCTCGGGTTACAGACACTTCAGGTTGCGCTTTTTTGGGTTGCGGGCCACCGAAACCCAGAAGTACCGCAACGGGTTACTTCCAGGTTTTGGTGGTCGCGCATGCGCAGAAGTGCCGAATTGCAACCCGCACATGCGCATGTGCGGGTTGCAAACAAGCATCCTGTACAGATCACGTTCGCAACCCGAGCATCCACTGTATACAGTTCTAATTCCATTAATGTTTAACTGGATTTAAAAGATTGTGGTCCCCCCCCTCCTATGTTTTTAATGACTTGTTTTTATCTGTAAACTGCCTCGAGTCCCACCAGGGAAGAAGATGGGGTATAAATAATAAATCTAATAATAAAAAGCAAACTGAAACATTTTATTCTGTAAAAACCTACAGCGCTCCAGCAGGAGGTTATGGGGAATGTATCAACTGGAAAGAAAGCAGGATGCCCACCTCAAATCTTTAGCAGGCACAAACAGTATGGAAAGCAGGGTCCTATATCACAACCCCAATAGTACCACGAATCATCACAAAATCCCCCCAAAAGGGTGTCTGGAGGGGCGCCCAATGTGGAGAGCATGCTGAGCTTGCTGGAGCCTCGTTGGTAGTGGCTGGTGAGGTGGTACAAGTGGCTCTCCCACACCGCAGGTTGCTGCTGCTTTCAGAGAGGGTTGAGGTGCAGGGAGTATGGTGTGGCTTACAGTGGCAGGAACATTGGATCAGCTGCACTGCCATGTGCCATCCCGCCTAGTTCCCTGTGCCTGTCTACCCTCCTTCCCAGTAACCCAGGAGAGCAAGGGAGTCCCACCCACACCAGCCACAACTCAGACTAGTTACAGTTTATAACTTTTCATTCAGTAAGAATTTTGCAGGCTTCGTCTTCACAACACTGCTGCCAAGTAGGACACCGCTGAAACAGACAAAGTTCACATGCAGGCAAGAGGTGACACAAGTCAAGGTTGCCTTAGATCAGGTGTGGGGAAACCTTGGGCCCTCCAAACATAACCAAACTACAACTCCCATCTACCCCAGCAAGCATGACTAATGGCCAGGGATGATGGGAGTTGTAGTTCAGCAAAACCTCTGGAGGGCTACAGGTTCCCCACACCTGCTTTAGATACAGTGAACTTTGGGAGGCATAAAAGGTAATGGAGCGGATGACTGGAGTTCTCCTGTGCAAGTCCTGGGCGGGGGGAGATTGCGCCAGGTCAAGTACTGGGAGGGTAGTAGTGATGATGGTGCCATTTGGCTGTTCTGCCTCAGGCCTGTCTTGGACCTGCTCCATCTATCCCTTTCATCAGTGCTCTTCAATGCTGGGTTCTCAGATGTTGCTGAACTATAACTCCCACCAACTATAGCTCCCTGTGCCAAGGCAACCTCTTTCCTGCTGCAGCTGAAGCCAACTAAGACTAAACTTTTCATCAAAAAGTCTATTGTTTGAGTCTTGCCTCTGCCATGATCCCACTTCACAGACAAGCCTCCTCTCTCTTCATCTCACCCTAGCAATGGAGATATTAATAACGACCTTTCTTAAAGAGTGGAGGCAAGGATTGCAAGGTGTGTACAGAAAGGGCATTCAGTGGAAGAGCATCCAGTGGAATAACACCCTCCCCCTCAAATAATAATAATAATAATAATAATAATAATAATAATAATAATAATCTGCTTTGCCTAGTAGCCCTTCTCTTAATCTCTAATGTGCACGGGAGGGCTGGCCGTGGTTCCTTAGTGATGGCACTTTACACATGCTCAAAAGCACCATTTACCTTGTACCGCTATGCAAGTTTACTTAGGGCCTGTAGCTAAAGCAAAAGTACTTCGCGCGTGCCCAGAAGCCCCGACTTCTCTTGAATCCGCCTCCCATCTTCTCAGGGCTGGAGTCAACCTGCCCGCCCTCCTGAGTTCAACGAACGGGATCGGAGCTTCAGGCTGGTCTTAGGATTAGGACTTCCCATGAACTTTGCGCAGCTTCAACCTCGGCACGGCAAAGCAGAGGTCCCGGGGCCGAGCCCTGGCCGCCTCAACGCTGCGTCAAAGCGGAGCCCAAGGCGCGCGTTCCTCTTACCCTGCGGCGCTCGCCGCGCTTTGCGGACGCCTGGCCGAGCGCGGCCATCCCGCCGGCCGCGGTTTTCGGAGCGAGCCCGACGCCGAGGCGCCCTCAGCGCGTCTCCTTCGGCCTCGGGAGAAGAGCGAAGCGGGCGGGCGGGGAGGACTCCTGCGCCAAGGCGGCTCTCGAGGCCAAGCGCTCCGCCGCCGCCGCCGCCGCCAGCTCGGCTGCTTCGCTGGGCTTCGGCTCAGTCGCCTAATGCGGCTCCTGCGCTTCCGTCGCCGCGAGAAAGGCGACTCGCCGCTGCGGCAGCGGGAGGAGCGACGGAGTCCTCGGCCGCCTCCATCTGCGGGGCGGCGGGGCGCGCGCCCAGGGAGCGCTGCTGCTGCCAGCAAGTTCCGCGCGGGGCTGGGCGGGCGGCGGCGCGGGACGGAGAGAGACACTGGGGGAGACCCTTCTTTGGTAAGATGCTCGAGGGAAACAGGTCGGCGGGAGGGGATCGAGGCACCGTCTCCAGCGCCGCGCGGCCGGCCAGCCTCTCTCTCTCTCCGCCTCTCTCTGCCCGCTCGGCCAGGCGCGTCCCCACCCCGGCTCCACGTGGTGGCTGTGTACAGCCCGGAGCCCCGCCCCGCCGCCGCGCCATTGGCCGGAGGCGCCGCCCCGGGAAGGCGGAGCCGCTCATCAAGGCAGCCGGGCGCGCACACGCACACGCGCGCGCACTTGCGCATCCATCCAGCCAGCCGGACAAGGACGGGGTCAGGTGGGCGCCTTGGGCCGGGGCTCTGCTTCCTCGGGCTCTTAATGGCAGCCTGGCGTCACTGGGTTAACGCTGGTCCCTCCCTGTGCCAGAACGGCGGCTGTGCGGGCTTTTGGCTGCGTCCGCATCATACTGTTACGGATATGAGGTAACAGGGCCTATTAGTGAATAGTAAGGAAAAGGTAAAGGGACCCCTGACCGTTAGGTCCAATCGCGGACAACTCTGGGGTTGCGGCGCTCATCTCGCTTTACTGGCCGAGGGAGCCGGCGTACAGCTTCCGGGTCATGTGGCCAGCAGGACTAAGCTGCTTCTGGCGAACCAGAGCAGTGCACGGAAACGCCGTTTACCTTCCTGCCAGAGTGGTACCTATTTATCTACTTGCACTGGCGTGCTTTCAAACTGCTAGGTTGGCAGGAGCTGGGACCGAGCAATGGGAGCTCACCCCGTTGCGGGGATTCGAACTGCCAACCTTCTGATCGGCAAACCCAGGAGGCTCAGTGGTTTAGACCACAACGCTACCCGCGTCCTGCCTATTAGTGAATAGTAGAAGGTAATAAATGGTAGCGTTTTGATTATCTGGGACATGAAGGGAAAATACCAGCTGCAGAAGGATTCCTTGGCTAGCCTAAGGAAGACGACCTGGCAAGCTCTGGCCGTTGAGAACCAGTACAGGGCCATTGAGGGCCATTGGCAATGCAGGAGAACTGTCCCCTGTCCTGAGATGTTAACAGAGACAGGGGATTCGGAAGGTTGCCAGGATAACGGGGTGAGTTGTCACAGGAAGAGTTGGGGGGCCTTCGGAAGGAGCCTTGGAGTAGCTGAGAACAAAGGGCAGAGCCATCTTGGCAGGCTGGCTGAAGGCAGGCCGGGAGAGATGCCTTGGGCTCCAGTGCTGCACTGCTGTGGGGGACAAGCCCCTCTTGAGGTGACCACACTGGACTTCCTCTATGTAGGCTAATGGTGTAAATATATGTAATTTAACCATAATTCTAAAAGGATAACAGTCTCTGCTGTGTCTTATTCTCACTGGAGCGTAGACTGTGGGTGAGCACCTGAAACCCCCTGGAATCTTGACTCAGCTTGGCAGAGATTGGGGGTGGCGTCCAGCTTTTGTAACAATGCATTTAAAACACAGTCCCCACCCCCAAATCCCGGGAACTGTAGCTTACCCAACTCAGAGCTACATTTTCCAGCACCCGTAACAAACTACAGTTCCCAGGATTCTTGTGGGGAGGGAGGGAGAGGTCCTTTAACTGTGGCATATATGCTTTAACAGCCATAGTTCTGTGGCTGTGGCAGATTAGGATATTCTGTGAGATTCTGTATAATGGGGGTGGCAGCTTTGGCAAGAAGGGGTTTCCTTACAAACAGGAATGGGGAACTTGTGGCCTTCCAGGTTCTACTGGGCTCTGACTCCCAGCATCCCTGTGCTGGCCAGGGCTGGTAGGAGTTGGAGTCCAACAGCATCTGGAAGACGGCAAGTACCCCATGTCTGGTGTAAAAGCATGCACAAGTGCTGTATACAACTGTGTCATATTTCAGTGGAGACTGCAAAGGAGAATTCTCTCCAGGATAGTGCTCATCTTTATTTAAAACATATTTGTACACCGCCTTTTATCAAAATTGAGTTCAAGATGCTATATAATATTTTTGTAAAAGTAGAAAATTATCATGTAGTAAACTGACAATAAAGAAACATTTGTCTGAGAGAGCTGTTTCAGTTTCAGTTTCTTGGGACAGGTATAATATTATGTAATGCAGGTTATGGCATTGAAATAGAAAACAATTCAGTTGACATAGTCCTAATCCTTGCAGGAAAAACTCAAAAGTTTCATTGGCCATGACAGGTGCAGAGAGACATCGCTCTGCGCCTTGGTGAAAATTTATATAGCTTGCCTTGAAAGTTAGAATGAAAAACCAGTTTTCAATTTTAGGTCAGAGACACCAAAGATGATTTGTGGATGAGGGCCACCTTTAAAGCAAAACAAAACAAAGGAGAAAGCACAAGAGGTGTGATAAGTGATGACAATGGATGAAATCTGTCTGAGCTAAGAATCTGAGGAACCCACTGGCAAGAGAATCCCACATGCACCCAGCCCCCCTCCTTGACTGATGCCACAACTACCTTTCCACTGCGGCATTGCCAGTGGGCAAGCAGCTGGAGGCTTAGAACAGATGGGGGTGAGCGGGCATTGGTAGGTGACTCAGGCAAGTGCGGCAGGTGCCACAAGGGTCTCAGAGTCAGCCAGGATTCAGCGCTTCCTAATCTCCTGAAGGGAGCTGCTGGAGCTGGAGGAAGAAAGTGGCAGTATTCTGCCCCCCTTCTCAAACCAGTCCCTGCAAAGTTATCCACCTCACCTCCCAGCTGCCTTCCCAGCCATTTCAAAATAGCTAACCCATAAATGGTTCTAGTTTTTTACCTTAGCAGAAGCCAGACGCTGGCCTTGCTTGCATGGCCTATTCTCTGTTTGTTTGTTTGTCACTTTATTTATTTTGTGAGTTGTTGTTTTTTAAGTCTCAAAGCAACTTAAGAAGATAAAATAGAAAACAGATAAAATCAGTTAGAAGCAATTTTTTAAAATGTGTACAATACAAAATTTCTAGAATACTCATCCAACAGCACAGTAGGAAGGACAGGGCCTAACCCAGCTCCCTAAAAGGTGATCAGCACAGCAGAGTCTAGCCTCAATACATTTAAAGCACTTGCCTTCCCCCAGAGAATCCTGGGAACTGTCATTGACCTCTCACAGAACAACAATTCCCAGCCCCCTTAACAAGCTACAGTTCCCAGGATTCTTTGGGGGAAAGTCATGCACTTTAAATGCACGGTGTGCACACAGATTTAATCAGAGACTCTGACTCAGAATCAATTCTGTCTCTGGATTGGCCCTCTTGCGGATCTGTCCCATTTCTGCACTGCTACTCTTCTGGGACTTGCTCCTTCAAGTCTGGCTCTTTATAGCCTTGCACTGACCAAGGTGATGGGCATAATACCCTTGCTTGGTGGCCCATTGAACTATGTATTGTGACATGGATGCAATAAGCAGATTTTAAAGAACAATGCTAGATGGACATGCTTTGCATTTTTCTATCCCATCTTTCCTAGTGTTCCCATTGCCCTTACTGTGCAGGTGGAAACACATGCCAACAGCCCTGTTTCAGTCATGGAGAACTAGCTAAACACGGACCTAGGTAGAAGCTCTGTGAGTGATTCACAGTGAAGAAAGAATCTAGGCAAAGTAAATTTCCAAGAATAGTTTTATGAAACACACACACACACGTGTCTGTGTTCTCCCCTCCTCCTCCAGTTCTAATCTCCTTAGCAACCTATCCATTTTCATCTTGTGGCGGGGGGGGGGCATGGGGGGGAGCTAAAACAAAAATGGATTTTCCAGTTTCTATGCTATGAGTGGGTGATTTTCTCTATTAATAATGATCCGTAAGTCTTGGTACATGGTAAGATTTTTCTGTTCTTACATTAGCCAAGAGGGGTCATGGACACCACTTGATTTAACCCAAGCATTTCTAAAGCTTGCTAAAAGCAAATGGCAGAGATGGTTGATGGGGGAGAGGGAGGAGGGGTGGGGAAGCCAGCAGTGACCCTGCTTTGAGTGCAACATCCTTTGAAAAACTGGTTGTAGGCCACTGTCCAAGAGAGGAACCTGGTGCTGTGAGGTGCAGAAAGGGTGGCTGCCCCCAAATCCATACCCGAGTAGGCTTCAGCCTCAGAAATAGAAATCAGAGATTGCCATACCTGGATTTTGGAATATTCACCAAAAAACAGTAAGCAGAAGGTACTTCTCTCTGCCTCTGCCATATATAGTAGAGCTTTCAGTCCATTTAACTACTTTGCATCACCTTGCCTCCCTCCCTGTTCTTGATTACAATTCTTACTGCATTATAGAAAGCCTTATAGAAGTTGTTACCCGCACTTTGACAACCCAAGAGCCATTAATATACCACCCACCATTCAAAAAGCCTTAGCATTAACTGGTGGGCACTGCAGTGTGGTGAGGTTCCACTGGGTGGTTGTTTCTTCATTTGATATTGGGTCAGAGGCGCCATCTTCTTAACAGGATTGAGGGGGCCCATGCACGATGCAAGGAGCCAGGGGCCAGAAACTGTCTTGGCCCTTGGAGCTAGTGCTCCTGTGCTGGTGCCTCTCCTCACCTGCTCACGCTTACTGGCGCCCAGTTGCCTTTCAGCAGCCTTTTGTGGGCGAGTGCAGAGTTCTGGCTGGCTGGTCGCCTGGCAGCAGCAGCAGCCCAAAAAAGGCCACAGGGGATCCAGAGCTTCCCAGCCAGCCCTGCCTTGGATCCTCCTTGGAAGGTAGAGCTGCAGGTACGCAGCCCCACCAAGCCCGCACTCCACCTCACGTACATCCCCATTCAAATGGGCTCTGCTCCAGTCCTCCCCATCTGTGCTCCCAATTCTCGGCCCCAGGCTTGTGGAACTCCCAGGAAAAGTGGCCTTGCAGTGCTGCAAGGAGCCTGGGGGCAGAGCTGAATGCTCTGGGAATATGGGGGGGCTCTGCCCCCTCAAAAATACTGGGGAGGGGCAGAAACTGCCTCATCTCCTAGGAGTTGGCACACCTGTATTGGGTGGTGCTACTTTTTACTCATGGTAATCCTGCTGTAATGAACACTCTGGTTAAGGGAATGGCAAGAAACAGTCCCTAAAATGAAGGTGGCAAATAGGGGTGCTGGGCAGAGGTAGTCCATATTGTTCCATAGCTAAGCAGCTGGTGGGTTTGTATCCATTGCCAAACTCTGCACAGATTACATAAAGGAAATCACTGTATATTTCACGCATATGCACTTTCTAAATAATTCATCCTGCTTCCAAAAAGAGTGATGGAAAGCTTGTGGAGTCTGGGTGAAACTGATCAACAACAGCAGAAAATAATCACGGTCGTGGGAGAAAGATAATATTGTTTTTTAGGATACATTTTCAAGCTGCTCCTGGAAATCCTGAGGGCTAGGAAGTTAAGGACTCTGCTGATACAAAGGCTGGCACCAACCCAATCATAATTTTAGCAGGTTTCAAAGAGTCCCTGCCCTAGCGATTGCCTCCCCTCATTATGATTAAAATTGTAGAAAGGGTGCAAAGGCAAGCAGTTGTGTTGTATGGCAAATGCTTCAATCATTATTCCTGAAGCAAAGAGTGAAGGGCTGTTGGGAACTTTCCCCTAGGAAGTTTGTTCATTCCCAAAGGGCATTGTAGCATCAACCTCTCTTGACTCCCCTTGAGGGCAATTCTCCCTCCTCAAATTACTCACTGTCCGCCTACACATCATCCCAACTGTCTCTTCCCTCGCACAGGGAACACACACACAATGCAGACTAAGCCTGCAGTCCTCACATACACTTACCTGGCAGCCAGCCCTGTGGAACTGAAGGCGAGTACACCCTCGCAGCCATACACACACCACCATTTTCATTTTCATCCCACTAGTACATTTACCCCACAGATGTAAACAGCCGCAGCACTCGCCCTGTGGAGGGACAGACACACGCAAAAAGGAATGCTGCCTGCTCCCTCCCACGCATGCACACTTCAAAACACAACTGCAAGCGTGAACACAAACATCCTCTTTTCTCTCTCATGCAAATAAAGGCATCCATTCATCCCACTTGTGAAGCCCAATCATACCACTCATGGACTGGAGAGTCGTTTCTTTGGCCAATATGTGGAATGAATCTAAGCCCTCCCACCGTCTCTGAATGAGCTGGATTGGCTAGCACACTCTGGCCTGAGACCGATTCTACTTCCCCTCTCATCAAGGCAGGGCTATGGGATTCCTCGTATTTGTATTTGTTTTCATTTCTAAAATTTATGAGTGGCTTCTTTGCCAGGCACTTCAGGTGATGTGGGGCTGTTTAAAACCAACACACAGAGCGGATTTGCACACAATGCTAAGCCAAGCCATGATTTGCTTGTAGGTGGACATCATTAATATCCTTTGGTGCCAGCCAGGTTGAACTTTTTTCCCAGGCTTTTGGAGGATTATGACAAGGTGGTTGATGACCTGTTGCAGTGGTTTTCAACCAGTGTGCCGTGGCACCATGGGGTGCCTTGAATGATGGTCAGGGGTGCCGCGGGCAACACTGGCCTTTGTCCCGCTTTCCTTCCTTCCCTCCTCTGATGCCCTCTCATGTCTCTGCCTCCCCAAGGCTTGCACAGCTGTTCGGTGCAGCAGCCCTGGCTACAAGCCCCGCGGGCAAATGGTGTGTCTGGGGCTGGCCAGGGGGAGCTTCCCAGGCCCCTGTGGGGCAGTGTGAGGAGGCACCTCTATTGGGGGGGGCAGCTCAGAGACCAGGGGCGGCTGCAGTGGCTGCCCAGAGGACGCCCAAGGAGAGGGAAGAGGAGAAGAGGCTGAGGGAACCCTCCACAGGGGAGAGTGTTCGAAAAGGGGTGAGGGGCTGCTATCTCTGCAGGCAAGGGGTTACATAACTGGGCTCCTGAGCCCCACAGGGGTGCCGCAGAAAGTGTGTAGTTGGTCAAGGGAGCCATGGACTCAAAAAGGTTCAATGTGCCTATTGAATGAAATGTCCTTGCTTTTTCTGCAGGGTTTGTTTATGGGTTATTGGAATGGTTTTATTGTTTTATATGGTGTACTTTTTTGGTCTGTCACCTTTCTGTAAGTGACTTAGAGACCTTTTTTTGGGGGGGGGAATACCAGTAAGTCAAAATAATGGAAATGGTGATGTGTGCTCATTTCCCCCCACTAGTGGGACAAGCATCAGCTAGGTAGAGGACTGAATACAATTGAGATTAGGAGAATAGCAGAGGGGAAAGGGTTAAACACCCTTACCTCACCCTGCTCCAGCCTAGATCCTCACTCCCTATCTGCTTTAAGTGTAAATAAATCCATACTGTTTGGATGCAGTACTAAGCCTGAACCATGGTAGCATCTGCAGCTTAAGGGCTCCCACTTGGTTCCTTTCTTCCTCCAGTAAGGAATCAACCATGCAGGAGTTGGCTTAGTGCTATGCCCAAACTACTGATCATGGTTTGTTTTGCTTCAAGAGAAACAAGCCATAAGCTTTGTTCAGGTGAAACCTTAAAACCAGACATACATCTGATCCAGGATGTAAATTAAGGATAGGAGGCATATTATGGATGCCATGTGTGGCAAAGCTAGGCCTCTCACACATTCCAATATTTCAGATAATTAGTTTTAGATTTGTTTCTGTTTGTGTTCACACCAGGAGTGCTGACCAGGTGTGTGCTCAATGTGTGTGTGTGTATGTATGTATGTGTGCGTGGATGTATGTATGTGCCTTACAGGCAGCACAATCCTAAACATGTCTGCTCAGAGTAAGTCCCATTGAATTAAAGCCTAATATTATGAAATATAATAAAAAAAAATCCTTACAGTAGCACCTTAGAGACCAACTAAGTTTGTTATTGGTATGAACTTTCGTGTGGTGTGCAGGCACACAAAAGCTCATACCAATAACAAACTTAGTTGGTCTCTAAGGTGCTACTGGAAGGAATTTTTTTATTTTGTTTCAACTACGGCAGACCAACAGGGCTACCTACCTGTAACTAGAATTATGAACTATATGCTTTTAAAAATGTGTATATCACAAAATTTGTACAAATATGTGTATATTATGTGGAAATGTGCACCAAAATGCTGAGGAATTCTCATGAGGACTTTTTTCAAAAGAACTCACAAACTGGTGTGAAAATGACCTGTGAACCAAACTTTAGATTGGAGAAATAGGAAATCGAGAGAAACTGAAATGAACTTATTTGCTGAGCCCTAGTGCTCACAGCAATATAGGAACAACCTACAGAACAAGAGAACAACTTGCATAACATCTTTATTAATGCCCTGTTTCCTTTTCTCTTTTACTTCCAAGATGCAGCAATAACTTATGAAATGTAGTGTGAAGGCCAAGGACTTAAGACAGTTTTAAAAGGGGATTATACAGATTCATGGAAGAAAAGGCTGTCAATGGCTCGTCATCACGATGGCCATGCATTTCAGCCAGAATCAGAGGCGGCATCTCTAAACACCAGTCGCTAAGGAACCACAGAAGGAGAAGGAGGGCGCTGCCCTCATGTCCCTTAGGCATCTGGCTGACCACTCAAGGAAACTGGATGCTGGACGAGGTAGGAAGTTGATCTGATCCAGCAGAGTTCTTATTAGGTCTGCAACTCAACACAAACACCTTGTTGATGGTCAGTGGGCCAGCCATGACTCCCTGCTCCCCGCAGCTTTTACTTAGCTGAAATGCTGCTGGTCTCGTTGAGTGTATCTCTCAGATGGCACCATCTCTTTTGAAAGGGAGAGACATGCCAGGAGCACATCATCAGTCAGGCTCACACACAAAGGAGCAGAGAGACGGCAAGAATCATCCTGACAAACAAAGGGCTAGTTTCACAGGCCAGCGATCAGCCCTTAAAAGCCTCCCTCCCCTCCCCACTCTAATGGAAGAAGTGGTGAGTATAAACAGATGATCTCATCCCTTGGCTGGTTCATTCTGTTTCTCCATTACCCACTCAAGAGATGCCAGTGTGTGATTCCCGTACTCTCGGCAAAGCTGAGCCAGAGCAGAAAAGAAAGCACAATTTATGATATGTGTCAGAGAAGTCGCATGTCCTTTATTAAATCTTTTTCTTTCTTTCTTTCTTTCTTTCTTTCTTTCTTTCTTTCTTTCTTTCTTTCTTTCTTTCTTTCTTTCTTTCTTTCTTTCTTTCTTATCTATCTATCAGAAACAGTTGCCTAATGCTTCCCAGACTTCTGATATAAAAAGCACCTTTATTTTCTTCCTCAATTAAAATTGGAGTAGCACTTCCCTCTTACATACTCCTGGGAAGGATTACTTTTAACAGGTGAAAGACAGGCAGGCATTATGGAACAGGATGCAGAAACTGGTGGTTGTTTCTTTAAACAAACCTCAGCTGTGTTCTGATAAAGCACCTGTATTTGGGACACAAATGTTTAACCCAGCCTTTGCCAGACTGGTGCCCTCCAGCCAGATGTTTTGGACTACAGTTCCCATCAGCCCCAGGCTGATGAAGGCTGGGATAGCCATTTCTTCTACTGCACTTTGCAATGCCTGTCTATCACTGGTCTGGTTCTCTCTGCACATGCACAGAGGGAGGGGTGGACTAAGGCTCTGTCCACACAACAGCCTGTTGAAGGGACCCTGATTGCATAGGCTCCTGAAGATGCTTAGGGAGTCAGGGCAGCAACCTTCTGGCCTAAAGATGCCTTGCTGCTTCTGTCCATGGCCTCTTGCCTGATGTGTTCACTGCACTCTTGGGCTGGTGAAGAAGTCTGGGAGGCCCTGAATTCCTAGGGCCCTAAGGAAGGTGCCTGTGAAGGTCCTGGCTCTGATTTTATGGGCCGTGGTCCTGTGGGAGCCAGTTTAGTCTGCACCAGCCTGCCAGCATCATGTTCTCTGAGTCCCTGACCAGCACCATCAGGCCCAGAGCCAGGAACCTGGTCCCCCTCCTCAGCTTTTGGCACCATGGCTTCCGACTTGGAATCTTGGTTCCTGCTGGACTATGAGGCCCTGCACAAAGAACTGGGATGGGCAGAGGACAGCTCTGTTCAAGTCTGGTTTAATGATACAGGACCACAAGGAAGGAGAACAGGAGTGGCTCATCAACAGTTAGTGTGGATAGCTGACTCAGCAGGCTGACAGATCACTTAATCACAGACTTCCTCACTTGAGTTGTACCAATTTCTAAAATGGCACCTAGGCATATAAATTAGCATAGGTTAATAAATATGTGTTGCCCTTCAAAGTGTGTGTGTGTGTGCGTGCCTGCTGCATTTCCTTTTCTTTTTTGGATGATGCAGAAGTGGCCATCCCAAGATCGAAAATGTTGCGGGAAAGGGGACAATTTGACAACTCTTCCTGGGTTCGGATAGTTCAGTTGGGCTGGAGGAACAGATAATTCTATCCATTGATTTTTAAATAAGGTTTAGCTCCCATCATAGAATAGCAATGACATCATCTTAAATTCAGGGTTGCATGAGTCATTCAAGAGACTATACCAAGGTGAAGAAAAGAAAGATAACATGACATAATATGGTCTGTGGAGAAACAATTGGTTTGTTGTATAGGCCTCTTCATGGGGGAGTGTTCAATCACGGGGCCTTATCTATAGCTTTTGCTTAAGGCTGGATACAGCTGATATATATAGATATAAATACAGCTATAGATGATAGAGCTACAGCTATAGCTATAGATATATGGATTCAACCTGCTGTGTGTTTTTCAGTCTCAGCATCCCTCGATACAACCTGAAAACCTACGTCCAGGAGAATCTTATCCAATTCAGGGCATTTCCAGGCTGTCTCTGTTTTTAGGTGGGTTTCAATCACATGCCAGCAAATTCAGGTTGCACAGTTATGATTGATTTCAAACTCTTGCCCAATAACCCCTCTCCCAAAGTGGGCTTTTTGCAATCTGGGAAGTGACAGAATAAGTGTAGGATAACATGTGCTTGATGTGGCATTGTCTAACCTCCCTGCAAACAAATCAGAATGAATGTTCATCTGGAAGTGACAAAGCTTTTCATCTGTTTCTCAGAGGGCGCTTCAGACTGCTGCTATTTTCAGGTGGGATTCAGTCACATAGTCATAGTATGACTTTGCTTACATTGCATTCTGTAATTTCTAATGGGCAAGCGGATGGTGCAGCGGAATTACAGGAGCAGTGCCCTTAAGCACATAGCCACAGGCCCACACCCAGCCATGCTGCTCCTGCTGTCTGATGATGGGGGTGGAATCAGTGCCGTGGGGATGGTACCTGGAAGAGGAGGGAGCTGTTGAGGAGGAAAGGTGGGCCTCAGAGCCATGCTAGCCACAAACAGGCCTTCATCCCTGGCATGTTGGTGGGGAGCTGCCAGTGCTTTGACTCCTTCCCACGAGTCTCCCTGCCCTCAAGCCAAGGGTCATTGTCACAGATGCTTTGTCAGGATGCAATGATTTTAGCTTCGTATACTTGATTTTATAGTTTATACACTTAGCTGGAGTGCAGCCATCTTGGCTCTTGAGAGAACCTGTATGAATGTGGAGGTGGAACTGTCCATCTTATTTAAGATGATGGTGCTGATGGTGCCATCGTTGTGGCTGGTGCTTCTTCCCGCTGGCACTACAAGCTATGCTATCCTTGCACAGCCCAAATCTCTTCCCGCCCCCCTCCCAGCTGTCTGGCTTTGCTGCCTCCTTTCTCAGCCCTGTTTCTGCTGGAGCCTGTGACCGCTGAAAGAGATTTGACACTGAGTGAGGCTGCTATAAATAGAAAAAGGAGAAAAATCAATAACTAAGAGGCCAGACATAATGCAATTGTAAACCACACTGTATCCCATCCCATAGTGCTTGCTCCCCCCCCCCCCGGTGTCTTGGCTACCTTGCTTATATTCCTCCCCCCTGCTCCCAATTGACATTTTAACCAAGATGGTGCTCTTCTTGAATACAGAGTATTTTCAGTGACAGGAAATGTACTTAAGAACAGCTCAACTTGGTTCCCTCCCTCCCCCCTTTAATTCTATATGCACAACAGTTTCTAATTTCATATTTGGAAAAGTTCTCTTTCTGTTCTCATTCTCACATAGCATGTCCCCAAATAACCTCCAAACATGGGATAGGCAGGGATTTTCATTTAAAAGTCTCAGTATGGTACTTCTGAATCACAGATTATTAAATTTATTTTTCCTGGCAAGGGAAAGTCAATTCATAGTTGAAAGCCTTTGAGGCTGGAAATATTACATATCATAATGGCTGTGTAGACTCCTGTCCAGTTTTCAAAGTGCTGAGATGTCCTGGCCCTGCAGTCCATTCACCCAGGTCTGGTTTCCTTGGGAAAGAGGTCACTGTACCAGAAGCGGTTTGAGAATTGTGCGACCAGTTTGGCCACACTGGGTGCTGTGCTGCAGGGGGCGCCACGACAGCGCTGCACAGTGGAGCATGAGAGGCAAAGTCTGCCACTGGCTGGACAATTACTGACATTCTGTGGTATATGGTTTGTGTATGCATACATTCACATACAGGTTGAGCAGATCTCCAAGCCATGCAAAAAAGGAAAGGAAAGAAAAGGTCAAGCACATGTGAATCAGCATCCTATTGCAGAGCCCACTGCATTATTCAGTTGTTCTGTTGTGAAATAAAGATAGTACAGTCTCTAAAAGGCTGCACTTATACCCATTTACCCACTCTGAAGTAAGCCACATTGAACTCAAATGTGCATAAGATGCTCCTGTAAGACCTCTGGTCAGCAACTAATTTTCCTGAAGGGTCATTTAGAAGGAGGGGGGCCACAGGCCAACACATCTGTCCTCTTCAGTGGCCTGTCAGAAAAGCTCCATTGCAAAGGAAGCCAATTTCTCCACACCTCTTTCTCTTTTAAGAGCTAGGAACATCTCTCAGATTCAGCACCTCCAATAGTTGACCTCTATTCTAAACCATTTGGACTTGTATATTTGGATGGGCAGCTACTTGCAAGGTCCACCCAAGACATTGTGCTGCCTGAGGGGAAAGACAAGGTGATAGCTCCTCCCCATTCCAGATATAGAAGATGACTGCGTTGGTGGTTGAATCTTGCTTCAACACTGGTGACTAGGCTGATGCCCTCCCAAGCACACAAGGGCAGCAGGCTAGCTGAGAAGTCACAGGGTAGACTGTGGCCCTCCACGCCTCTCTGTTTGGCCCTTGTAAGTGTCACCAGGCCACACTTCCCACTTGCCTTGCTTCACAGCCCAAATATGTTGGTCTGACCAGAATGTATCCTTGCTTATTTGGATAAAGAAATGGATAGGAGTATGTGAGGGCGGCTGTGTACACATTCCTGTTTACTCTGCATCCAGCGCGCTCCCACTGCTGCCTTGTGAGGCTGCAGACACACAGCGTTAGCCGCAGTACATGTCTATTTTGCAGTTCCCACCAAACCAGGTCCAATCTGATTTGAAACAGTAAGTCAAATGGACACCTACTTCCCCTCTCTACCCACTGGTGTGGTCAGACTGTGGGCAACTTGGAAATATATAAGTGCTGCCCAAGGTGCTTTTCTCACTGTGCCTAATGGTAGGGATGGCCCTGCCTGGGTCAGGCAAGGAGGGCTCATCCATGGCCACCTGGACTGCTGTTTGACCCTGTTAAATTTGGTCAAATGATCCTGAGATGGATAGGAGGAGTACGTGGTAGTCTGAAAATGTCTCTGCTTCCTCGCCTTCTCTTCCCCATGACCTGCAATGTCTTCTCTCTCCCTCCCCCCCAAACCCAATTTGCAGTTAGCATTCTGCCCGCTTCCCTGATGATCAGCGGTGACTTCAAGGAGATGTGATACCTGAGACTTTTAAAAGGCTCGCTACTTGACATACTCCTAATGGGTCTGATTGATTCTCAGGCTGTTCCCTGCCCACCCCACCCCCATGGAGGCTGCTGGAAATCAGCATAGATCCTAGCTAAACAGTAGCAAATAATAAGTTGTTCTCTCCATGTTCCCCCAGCCCAGGGAAAAAAAGTTTCTAGTCACAAACTGATGGCTCACATGTGAATGGAAACCACGGGAAGTGGGGGGAGACTGTTTTAGCTTACCTCCCTATGGTGGTTGTTGTTGTGTGCGCGCATACACACATAGCGCTGTGGTTCTTCAGACAGTGCATTACTTTGTGGCAAATGTAGCACATCAGAAAAAAGAGCTTGGTAGCTTTAGCTGCAACGGCCAGATGGAATGAAGGTTGGGAATCATGAATGCAGAGTGAGTCTCACCAGGCTTAATATGTCTAGAACGGCTGCCGCCTACATCTCCTCTTACTGCTTCAGCTCTAGATGCCTTTTTGCATTTATAGGCAGCTTCCGCAACAACATGGATGCGACCTTCTAGAGAACAAACACTAACAAGCTTTGGGATGCTACAGTGTCCTACCTCGTGCCAAACAGCTCCATGCACCTCAAAAGCTTTCTTTCTTTGATCAACCCAACATGGCTGACCATCCAAGGAGCTGTGACGCCACATGTGAGAGGGGCTGGATCCATGGGAAAAGTGAGGGGATGCCTCACCAGCCTCTGTCCACATGCCCCTTTTGCAAGCCCACCAACCTCTGCTTTACATGGGTTTCTCCCTCTGAATCTGCTCCACACTTGTACTGGGATAATTCTTCTTGCTTGCCTCAGAAAGAGGCACATGCAGCAGACACTCTGGCTTCCATGGGGTTGAAATGGAACCTGCAGTACGAAGGTGAGAGTCCCATCCATTGCTGCGGCTGCTCTTCTCTTTGGCCTTGGCTGCTATGGCAGTGTGGACCTTGGAAGGCTCTCCGTGAGGAAATGTGGCCTTGGGCTGAAAAAATTTCCTCACACTTGATGTAAAGACGCAGTTCTGACACCAGCTGCTTTCTTCAGTAGCACACGACTCAATGGCCCTGCAGGAAAGGTGATATACAAATGTAATAAGAAAACCTTAGAACTAGAAACCAGCCTTACAAGGTGCTTTCCTCGGGTCTCTTTGCAAAGCTTTGCAGTTATTAATCTATTCCAGAGGCCAGAGGTGGGGAAAATCTGGCCCACAGGCCAGTTTTGACCCTCTAGGCCTCCCCATTTGACTTGTAAGGTTGTTTCCCCTGCAGGCCCCGCCCTTGATGTCAAAGTGATGTCAGGCATGGGTCTGGATCAGCTGCACCCTGTGGAAAGCAGGATTGATCTTCCTACGCATCAGCTGAAGGGCAGGGAATTCAGTCTTGCTTTGTTCAGGTGCATGAGCAAGTTCCCTGTGGGAACTCAGATGATGTCAGATGACTGAGAGGTGGGGTGCTTCTGCCTATCTGTCAAAGTTGGCTCACAGTGTAGGGGTTGATGAAGATCTGGCCCACTGGGCCAAAAAGGTTCCTCTTCAGTCAGCCATGCTCTTTTTTGGTGGTGGGGGAAATAAAAGGTAAAGGACCCCTGACAGTTAAGTCCAGTCGTGAATGACTCTGGGGTTGCGGTGATCATCTCACTTTACTGGCCAAGGGAGCCGACGTTTGTCCCCAGACAGTTTTTCCGGGTCATGTGGTCAGCATGACTAAGCCGCTTCTGGCGAACCAGAGCAGCACATGGAAACACCAATTATCTTTCCTCCAGAGCAGTATGTATTTATCTACTTGCACTTTGACGTGCTTTCGAACTGCTAGGTTGGCAGGAGCTGGGACAGAGCAATGGGAGCTCACCCCGTCGCGGGGATTTGAACCGCCGATCTTCTGATCAGCAAGCCCTATGCCGTGGTTTAGACCACAGCGCCACCTGCATCCCTTTGGGGAAATACTCCATTCCATTTCCCCCACAGCAGTCATTCAACATTCTGTGACCACTAAGAATGCTCAGTCTTTGTTTTTTGGATCATTTTCTAAATATTTTGTTTCTATTTCCAGGAACTGTGGGTTTTGCATGGATGGTGCCCCTTTGACTATATGAGCATTGGCACTGAAATGATGAATTTGTGTGCACGCTCTCTCTCTCTCTCTAATAACATTATTGATACGCTAAAAGCCCTCCCCCCCCACCATCAGAGGGAAGGGGGCTGCCTTCTTCAGTAGCATGTGGCTCTGTTCCCCTCATGAGTCACACAGATAATCTAGTAAAACAAATTCCTTGATCTGGAAATACATCTCTGCCGTAGAGTTAAAAGCTGAACCCCATCTTTCTATTTTCAGCCTTTATTTAATTTAGAATAGTTTTGTTGCCACTTTATAATCCTGAGGGTCTCTCAAAACTGCAAAAAAATCTCAATAGAAATCACATCCAGGTCTGGTATCAGGGACATTAATGCCAGAGTGTCTCTGTGGTGCCAGGATTAGTCAGCAAGCATTTCCTGCCTTGGTCTTCCTTTTGGCTGCCATGTGGCTTCTGCCTAGTAGGTAGCAGAGCCTCCGTCTAGGCACAGGACTGGTACTGGACAGCTGGACCTTGCTCAGCTCATGATGGAGGTGCATCTTCCCTTTCTGGCAGTTGCCAGGCAACAGCTCCCTCTGAGGCAAGAGAGTAGGGCTGAGCATCTGGAACAATGTGGGAACCTCTGTTCAAAGGCAGCACTTAGGAAATTCATTACCATGTATGCCATGGCAGCTCCCATTGCCACAACCTCAAGGAAAGTCCAAAATCCAGGGAGCTGTGTTGATCCAGGAGACATGAATTTACATCCCTGATCATCCATGAGGCACAACTGTGGTTCTGTGCATAATTTCCTGGCAGTGAACTGCATTGAACTCAGTAGTGCTTACTTCTGACTGCATAGGTTCAAGTTGCAAATCACACTGAACTTTAAGGCAAGACCTGGGAACACCTTCAGCCAACTGATACACAACATGTAGCTTAGAAAAGCAAACAACTCTGCAAAGTGGTGTTATCATTTTAAATTGCGGGCATGAAGTAGGAACCCCAACAAAAGAAAGCCGTCTCCAGCCTCTCCTTGTTTATTCCCCATCCTTCTCTGACTTCCTTTATGTAATTTGCAAGAAAATTGAAATCTTCTTTACCACCTCATTCCATTGTCAAAGCAATGAAGGTTCATTAGCTACCCCCTGGTAAACAGATTTGGCAGATTTGATCTTGTTTCAAAAGCATGCAAAACTTGTTTGACCAGGGATTTGTTGTTGTTGGCATCTGCCTGCCTTAAGAGACAATGGAGTACACCTCGTGTGTGTGTGTGTGTGTGTGTGTGTGTGTGTGTGTGTGTGTGTGTCTGTCTGAAGTAATACCACTGGAGAATCACAGCACCTGCTGTGGCTGCAGAGACCAGTACCTCCTGCATTGTTTTTGCTGTGTTAGCAGCACCAAAGGAACCTCCCTGTGGCGCACGCTTGGGCAGAGTGTATGGGGGTCCTGGGCAGCCCAGACAACAAGACCCCCTCTCCCAGCCTCACAGATGTGGTCCAAAGGAAAGCAGAGCAATACATTTGGCACCAGCTTGGCTGCAAGAGTTTCCGGAAGGAGGCATACAAGAGACTACTGTGGAACAAAAGGAGTATGTGAGTAGCACACCACATGAGTGCAGTTCTCTCATGTTTTAAAAAACTATTGTCTGTCACTGGCCTAGAATTAAATATATTTCTGCTAAAATGCAAAAGTAGCTCCCATTATGTTTATCCTGATTTCTCAGCACTCAGCAAAACCCTCACGATGCATCTCTCTGAAGGGTCAATTCATTCTGTTGCTTGTGGCAGCAGTCTCATGCCCAGAGTTTACCCTGTGTTAAGTGCTCATGCTGCTCTTTCTCATTGAATTCAGACGGAGTTCAGCCTAGGAGATGGCCAGGTTGCAAGCAATGCCTCCGTCTGCTCTTCTGACCCAGGTAGTAGCTGGTGATGATGTGTATGAAACATTTCTGTCAAGGTTGTAGTGTTCTGCACACCAGCAGTGCAAGCTGCCGAGTATCAATTACTGATGGGAGTACAACAGTATGGAACTGGGCAGGTGCCAACTCATGGCTCCTTCGCACAACACTGCAGCTTAGCATGATGTGGCTTCTGGCAAGGGTGCTAAAGAGAAGTTTTAATCCGCTCCCCCCCCCATGTTAATGAGATTCAAGCAGGATGTTCAAATGGGATGAGGGGAGGTAAAGGGGATTTAAAAGAAGTTCACGAGCCCCACCCTTGACTCACCACCATTTCCCCTCTTCTAAAAGCAACCAAAGAAGCCGTCACAAAAGGCAAGGGGGACAGATTCCCTTTGCCCCCCCCTCCATATATCAAACACTGGTTTTCAGCTACTGCAAGTCTTAGATACTTAGAACACATAATCTAAGACACAAAGCACAGGTTTTAATATAGTGGAAGATTTTCACATTCTTTATTAGAATAACTCAGGTGAATATAAACTGTTAACCATCAGGGCTGTGTGATATTGAGGAAAACCTGAGAATATGTTAGTCTTGTTAGAATTCACCTTTAAGGAAGCTTCATTTACTATAAACTAAACTAAGCTACTTTCTGCTCCTTGTGGTTTCAAAATTCTGTTCTGAGGTTCTAAACAACTTCAGCCTTTGAACGTTGTTGTTGTAATACTACTACTACTACTAGTATACTGCCCTTCAACCACAGATCACAGGACAGTTCACAACATAAAAATACATAAGAATACATCACAAAGCAAAACGAAGAATAACAAGCCAATAAACCCTTTCCTTAATTTACACCATCATAATAACTTACGTACATTTCCCTCCCTAAATGACCTACAGATATTGAAAGATAATATGTAGGATTTGCGGCTGAGTTGGATTTTGAAACCAGGTTTCACAAGGCCAAGGCCACAGCATTATTTGCTGTGGCACACAGTATTCAAGCTCTGATGTTCCAGAAAATGTAGGTCATGTTTTGTTTGTGGCTTTTATCTTGCTATCTGAATGTGTTCCTTGTGTTCCTGTTACCTTTAAATCTTGTTCACTGGGTTTTTTCTTCTGGTGTACCTCAGTGCCCAGTGTGCTCTTCCAATTTACTCTATGTATCTGGTGAAAGTTAGGTTAGGCTTAGTAAATTTGTATTTATATGTTAATAATTTGCACTTTGTGAAATCGGCTCTTGACTATGGATTTGAAAGTGCACGTCACAATAAACTGCTTGATTTTTCAGATGCTGCAGGACTTTTTCACTGTGACAGAGACTTGAACCTTGGAGGCATCTTCCTCAACAGCCTTCTAACGAAAAGGATATCCTCCCAAATGTTGTTTCAGACCCCCAGTCACTGCAGTACAATTGCATACATTGAAAATGTGCAACCAGCCATGAGTTGAGCAGTCTGCATGAATGCAGGACATTTCCTTTTTTCCAGGCTTCATTGGAGAACTCCACTGGAGGCTGGATGGGGTTGGGGCTGGTGAGGCAGTCATGGGCTCTCCCATCCATTTTTTTCACCTGCTTTTATCATTTGTCTCAACTCCCAGCCCCCACCCTACCAACCTGCTTGGCGAAGAAGTGTGTGAATGGCAGCACCAGATGGAAGAGAGGCAGGAAAAGCCCCATTCTCAGATTTAAAGGGGGAAACTCTGGGTTGCAAACTGACAGCTGTGATGAAACTGACCAGAGGCTTCCAATAGGGTAAGCACCATGTGTTTTCCTGTAGAAACACCATTGTGCACAACTAGATGCCCTCGTCTGCCCCAGCTGCAACAAAATATGCCTCTCCTGCATTGGTCTCAACAGCCACAGCAGGAGCTGTAACTTTCTTTTTTTGCCGTAATATTTTTTATTAATTTTCATCAAGAAAAATACATATCGCACCACATTACAACTTTAACAAATTTTCTCATTTTTGGACTTCCTTCAGCCTCTCTGACAATCATCCGTATTAGACTTTTTAATTACACATTTCCTAAATTTTCTATTGCCTTTTAACATACTCTTCCACACCTGTTTTTCTTTCTTACAGTATTTCTTAGGTTTTTACAGAGCTTCTTTAAATGCCACTAACGTTATTTCATTATCACTTATACATTCCTAATACTCCACTAGCTTTCCCCAGTCCTCGATGAACTTTTGATCTCGTAGATATCTGATCTTCCCTGTCAGTTTATCAAGTTCTGCATAGTCCATCAGCTTCATTCTCCACTCCTCCAATGTTGGTACTTGTTCCTGTTTCCATTTCTGAGCCAGTAATATTCTTGCCGCTGTTACTGCATATTGGAAAAGTTTACAACAGGAGCTGTAACTTTCAACGGGTTGACTTTGCCCCCCAATGGCACACTCTTCCTAAGACAGACAGATGCCATCAAGAAAACCAAGATCAGCTGGCTCTGATGTATATTATGTTATAGAAAAAATAGGGGGGTTGGCTTTTGCTGCCCAACTCCCCAAGGGACTGAGTCCCTTAAGTCCGTGGTCAGAGATGAATGGATGGAGGCAAGATCCATAGAAAGCAAAGCAGATCTTTATTTTTCTGTTGCAACAAAGTTCCCTCTCCTCCTTGCAAGGAGGTGGGAGACCCAAAACAATGGTGCGTAAGCCCCTACAAAGACTTTTGAAATTGCCCACCCTGTAACCCAAGACCACCCCCAAAACATCATCCCTACATCACAGAAAGAGGCGGTCTCCAGCAGAAATTTGAGTGTGTTGCTTCTCTCCTGTCTGCCAGGATACCAGATAATGCCTTACTTGATTGCATTTTCTGTGTAGCCTGGCCATTCTTTTGAGATGGTAAATACTTTAGTTACTGAACCTCTTACACATATTGATAGTTTGCTCAGCTTAACAGATACTTGCCAGACTGTTTTTGCAGGGAGGTGAAAGCCCCTACAGTCCAAAAATAATTGGAAAGCTTTGCCCATTTCCTTCCCCCTTGCAGAGAAATACTTGAGGTCAATTTGGGAGAGTCAAACTGGCTTCAGGATTGCTCTCCTGTACTATTTCAGAGATGTGGTTTATATATGTTTGCCTTGTACATTTATGAACATTGATTCTGTATTTGAGACCTTAGAATTCTTATAACAATTGTCATCAATGTGCATGGTACTTTACAGTCTAATATTTATTTAGCTGTGATACCTGCATTGCAGGGGTGGACTCGATGACACTTTGTGTCCCTTCCAAGTGCAGAGTTCTATGAATCACAGAAATGTCGAGTTGGAAAGAACCATGAGGGTCATCTAGTCCTACCCCCTGCAGTGTAGGAATATTTTGTCCAATGTGGGGCTCAAACCCCAAACCCTGAGATTGAGAGTCTCACGCTCTACCAACTGGGCTATGATTTGTATTATAACATAAACAGGAAAGCAAGAGGACGTCTTCTTTTTCCTATTTTTATATATGTTGTGGTGTTGGTTATATCTTTTTCGTAATGCACTATATTGTTTTTTCTTATGCTGTCTTTTTTGTTTTTGTTTTTCTTCTTTGTGTTTTGTTTGGTCCATAAGTGCTATAATTGTAGAAAATGTATTAATTTTTTGGGGGGGGGGAAAGGCAAGCAAGAGGACGTGAGTGGAGGCAGAGCAAACATGTTGTTTCAGTTGCACGTGCTTAGGCTTAGGTCTAGTGTGCGCTGCTGCTTAGCAATTTACTCAGAAGTAAATCCCACTGTGCCCAATGGGAGGCTTCCTCCTTAGCGATGGGTAACTCCGGACTGCAGCCTCATCCATCCGTCAGGCCATTTGGTTCCAGATGAATTTTGAACCGGCCCCCTCTCGTGGGGAATCGTCGTAAAACACAGGCCACGGCTCTTCTCAGTTACAGGCAACTCGCACCTTACACTTGCACGACCACAGGTTTATGCGGGTAACGGGGAAATAAAGAGAGAGTTGGCGGGGGGGGGGGGCGGGGACCTGTCCGTGGAAAGAGCTCTGCCTTGCTCCCGGAGCCCTCGCCAGTCCTTCCCGGAACCTGGAAGGCTCCAAAAGCTCTTTCCGCGGTGTGTTTTCCTGCTCTTCGCGGAAAAAGCTGCCCGGGCCGGAGCTTCAGGCCTCCGCTTCCCTTGCTTCCCCGAGCCCCGGAGGCGAGGCGGAGGGCGAGGACGTGTTGCCCCGCGGAGCCCTGCCCCGGCGCGTGGGAAGCCTCGGCGGGAAAGAAGTCTCCGCCCCGGCCAGGAAGGGAAGGCCGGCCGAGGGGCGGAGAGCAGGAAGAGCCGCACCGGGGCGCGGGGGCGCGCGGAGGAAGACAGCGCCGCGCCCGAGAGGACGTTTCCTGGCTAGCGCGCGCCTCCGGCCCGGCTCCGCTTAGGGGCGACGGGGCCGAGGGAGCGTCCTTCCCCGCCAGGGGCTTCGGGAGCCGCGCGCCGCCTCGCCCGCCTTTGGTCCGCGCGGAGGCGCCACGCCGCGGCTGCAGCGCGCGGCCGGGCCGGGCTCCTCCTCCTCCTTCAGCGCGCATGGCGCCTGCTCCGCGGCCTCCCGCGCCGCCAGCTGCGCGCCTCGGCTCCCGCCAGTAGCAGGTCCGCGGAGGCGAGCGAGTGGCCGGGGTGGGTCGGGGCCCCGGAGGGGGGCGGTGGCGAGGGGGGGGCCCTGCGCCCTCCTTTCCTTTGTGCAGATGGAAACCGGGGAGGCTCCGGAGCGGGAGGAGCCCCGGGCGGGGGGTGGGCTCTGCAGGGTCGGCGCCATCCTTAGGGCACCGGGCAGCCGCCCAGGGCGCAGACCTCTCGAGGGGCGCAGTCTTATGCAGAATGACCTTCCTTGTATCTTACAAAGTTCTGATAACATTTTACGTTTGTATTTTATATTTTGAAGGATGTTATAATTTGTACAAGACATGGTGTTTTTTTTTGACAAATCGAGGTGAGCAACCAAAAAAATTGAGTGGAAGTACTTCTCCTTGCCTAGGGTGCAAACTAGATTGGCACCAGCTGGGCTGAATTTTGCAGACTCTGGGTGCTGCTGCGCAGGCCCCAGCGCTCTGGAAGTCTGGTGCCCTGGTTCAGGGGCTGGGCATGGTGTGCCTTTCTTGCGCTCATCCTTCCTTCCACTCCACTGCCTTCACTGACTGGAGAACCCATTTTTGGAGATACCTTAAGAAATGTTGCTGGATGCAACTCGCTTGTTCTTTTAAAGGTAAAGGGACCCCTGACCATTAGGTCCAGTCGTGGCCGACTCTGGGGTTGCGGCGCTCATCTCGCTTTACTGGCCGAGGGAGCCGGCGTACAGTGGCCAGCATGACTAAGCCACTTCTGGTGAACCAGAGCAGCGGACGGAAATGCCGTTTACCTTCCTGGCAGAAGGTACCTATTTATCTACTTGCACTTTGACGTGCTTTCAAACTGCTAGATTGGCAGGAGCAGGGACCGAGCAACAGGAGCTCACCCCGTCACGGGAATTTGAACCACCGACCTTCTGATCGGCAAGTCCTAGGATCTGGACTTGCTCTGGACACAGTGCCACCCGAGTCCCCCATGATCTCTTACTGTTGCTCAAACCGGCTGGGGCTTTTGGGAGTCCCAGCAGTACCACAGGTTCCTCCATCCCTGTCTTTAAACAGTCCTGGCATTACTGAATTGTGGGTTTCCCATTGGGGCATCTGGTCAGTCAAGGTGAGAGCAGGATGCTGGGTTGGAAAGGCCATTGACATGATCCGGCAGAGCTCTTCTTCTGTTCTGATTCATGTTAGTTGATTCTGCGTGTGCATACTTCCTCTAGAGTAGAAAAGATAGCTGGAGGAGGAGAGTGGCTGCCAATATATATATGCATATATATGTCTGCTTATATATGTGCATATATGCACATGCTCCCTCTCTTGCCTTCCAGAGCCATATTCTCTCGCAGGGGCTCCCCCACTTACACAGAGAGAAAGACACATCACCCTCCCCCACACACGAAGATGTATCATCAGGATGGGGAGGGAGGGCAGGTTTAACGCCCCCCCATCCCACGCACACTGCTATTTGCTTTTCTTAACTCATTTTTATTGGGTGGGGAAGTGAAGGCTTAAGACTCCCCCACCCCAGCAATCCTGAGGAACATCACCCACGAATCCCGCCTCTGCCGAACTGTGGGTGAGGTTTTCCCTGCTCTTCTGACGTTTGAGGAGGAAGAGGAGGGGTGTGTGGCTGTGGCAGAGGTGCCATGGGGCAGATCCAGCCTGTAGCCTAGTGGTTCTTCCTCACTGGCCTGTACAGATACTTTCACAATGTCCTGCTGGGAACTCCTCTGATTTGTTTGCAGTGGGAGGAGTATCAGTGTCACACTCTTCCAGTTTGGCTTGCATGGCAGATTCATCTTCCCTCCTCCTCCCATGTGCTGTTCTGGGGGTTCTCCAACACCCACCCACTCCCACCCACACCGCTGATTCAGTGGAAGTAGGCCAGAGCTGCATCCCTTCTCTTAGTGTGTGCGTATAAAGTGTTGCCTTACCATATGTTAGGAACAAGCACGTTCTTGTAATGCGGCATCAAAGGAGTAGCGTTTCCATTTAATCCTGTCCTCCTTGCGCTACAACTTGCTCTGAGCATGGGCGCTAGTATTAGGTGCTGTCCTGCTCCTCTTGACAGGAGTTATAAATAGTTGCCCCCAGCTGTTTTATATAATGTTTTGCTTTTAGGCAGAGATGGACTTCCCTCCATAAAAAGGTAAAGGACCCCTGACAGTTAAGTCCAGTCACGAAAGACTCTGGGGTTGCGGTGCTCATCTCACTTTATTGGCCAAGGGAGCTGACGTTTGTCCGCAGACAGTTTTTCAGGGTCATGTGGCCAGCATGTCTAAGCCACTTCTGGCAAAATCAAACGCTGTTTACCTTCCCGCTGGACCTATTTATCTACTTGCACTTTGACGTGCTTTTGAACTACTAGATTGGCAGGAGCTGGGACCGAGCAACGGGTGCTCACCCCGTCACGGGGATTTGAACCGCCGACCTTCCAACTGGCAAGCCCAAGGCTCAGTGGTTTATATCACCGCGCCACCTGCGCCCCTTCCCTCCCTATCTCCTTAATTCAGTGCAGCCTGAGCATGCAACTCTTGCTAGACTGCCATGGCCTTAGGGAGTGGGGCAGGTGGTAGCAGCTGTCAGTCAAAGGAATGGGACTCAAAGAGCAGCATCCTACTGGGAGCAAGGGGCTGGGCCTAGGACGTTTCCTAAGGGGTGTTTCCTAAGGCGGTTTTGGGTTCTTTTTGCTTCTGCAGACTCTTTGGAACACACCAACATTCATGGATTCTGCTGGGTTGTCAGAGGCCGGTCAGGTATCTGCCGATGCCAGGACACACTTCAAAGTCTGCAGGTTCATCATGGAGGCAGGTGAGAGGGTGCTGGGCTCTGCATTTTGGTGCAGCTGAGGAATGCTTGGTCAGTAGTGCCGCAATCCCTCTGAGAAAGGAGGGTTATGTTGGAAGGGGAAAGGTGATTTGAGGAGACACAGGACCAGGTGTGGCAATCTTTGTGGCTTGGAGGGTAGAGGGTCCTGCCTGGTTGGGTTGGAGGCAAACCCAGAACTGCGAAACGGAGGAGTTGGTGGGCGTCATTGTAAGTCAATGAGAAACAGGAAAACAATTCAAGCAGTATGCTCTTTTAAAATTAATGCTGTTTTCAGTTAACTGTAATAAATTGTTAAGCTCAATGACATTTTGTTTTTAAAAATAAATTGCATAGTGTCAGTACTTTTGCACTCACAGGAATACTGAAAGGTGGTGGAGGCAGGCTTGGGGTAAAAACATTGTCTGAATAATTTGTCATATCTCCAAAAGGAAAAGGCTGGTTGCTTCATTTTAGAACGGAAGCTAAAACGTCAAGGAAAATCAAGAAATATTGTTTAGGAGGAAATCTGCCTTGATTGAGGGAAGAGGGAGCCCATAGGAATCTTGAGGGTGGAAGCGACATTTAGGTGCCTACAGGCAGAAAATCTGAAAGCCCCTTCCTCCCAATGGTTAAAATGGGATGTAATCCACTGGAAAAAAATTCTGAGTCTGCATCACTGAAAGGAATTGGATCTGCAAATGGTTTTGCACAGCTCCCATTCATTTTAGAGAGGTTTGTGCAGGAGAACTTCCCAGTGGATTTTCCCTCACCACAACCTTGTTAGTTTGCCCTCTCCCTCTTCTGCACCCTGCTTTGTGGCCAAGCCACCTGTGAGTCAAGGGGCCCTGCACTTTGCTCCCCCCTCAGTCCCCAGTCCTTGCCTTGCTGATTCTCTTTTCCATTGACAGGTGTGAAGCTGGGCTTGCGCTCTGTCCCCATTGCCACAGCATGCACCATTTACCACCGGTTCTTTATGGAGGTGCCTCTGGAACCTTATGATCCCTACTTGGTAGCTATGGCTGCCCTTTACCTGGCGGGGAAGGTAGAAGAGCAGCACCTGCGGACAAGGGACATCATCAATGTCAGCCACAGGTAATAGGGACCGACTGTGAGAGCTGGACTTAGCTGTATTAGGAGTATATATCTACATGGATGCAGAATAAGGCAAGCAGTTCAGATTTTTCTATTCCCTCCCCAACAGCCATTCCTTAGCCACTGAGTACGCTTTGTTCTCACTGGCCTTTTTTGGGGGGAGTCCCTTTCTAATTTACTTTTTTTGTACTTCTGCAGACCTTGGGGTTTCCCCAAGCCTGCTGATTCCGCCTTCTTGGTGTTGTACCTACATAAGGAGGCATACTTGGAGAACTGAGTTTGCTCTTCAGATGTACGGAATGAGGGATTATACAGTTGTGCCCCTCCTCACTCATCTTGCCATTGTACCCTCAGCTTTCCACAGTGGGTGGGTGTGCTTGCAAGAGCAAGGAATAACAAAACCACCCCTCTTTTAATTTGGTTAAAGACATACACATCCCCACTTGCTTTTCTGAACTGCTTAAATCCAGTTATCCTCTTGACTGGCTTATGTCAAAGTTTATTCACCAGTGGCAGTGCAGACATTTGCCCTGTATAGTAAAATTTGTAGGTCAAACCTAATGTGAACAGCCCATGTGGCATAAACAGGAAAGGACCCCTTGCTGCAACCATCAGCCAGACTAAAGAGAAAACTGACTTAAAAAGTGAAATAAATGCTTTATCAATTAGGCTTTCTCCTTGTTGATTAAAAGTGCCGCCCACCAATTAATCAACTAACAGCTGTAGTTGATAAATCTACTAGTTATGGGGAACAAAGGCTGTAGCCCCATTCAGAATTCTAGGCAAGGGATTTGGCTTTCCACAAGATTTCCATAGAAGATTGTTCAGGCTTGGAAGGAACGCCTCCCTCTGTAAGACATTTGCACGCAGCTTTTTTTGGGTATTCAGAGAAAGAGAAAAATCAGTTTAATTTGTCACCTGCAAGAAGGAACCCCATAAACCTCCAGAATTTTTCCTCTTCTCCCCCACAGGTACTTGCACCCACGAAGTGACCCCCTGGAACTGGACATGCATTTCTGGGAGCTGAGAGACAGCATTGTCCAGTGTGAGCTGCTCATGCTGCGGGTGCTGTGTTTCCGTGTCTCCTTCCAGCACCCCCATAAGGTGCGGGCTGCTCAGTGTGGGGGCTCAGGGCGCAAACGGGGTGCCTGACTTGCTTGGGAGGCAAAGGGCTACACCTTCATGACTCTCCTCCCACCTGGAGGAACTGTTCCTTGCACCCATAGCCTCTGGGTTCTGCTTCCACCTTCCAGATGGGAACAGACTGCAGAGGGTTAGACTAGGAGGAACAGCTCAGAAGTCACAGTTCTGGCCAGAGAAGGGAAGGGAAGGCAGACCTAGTAGCGGGGAGGAAAGATGGTACCCAGCAACACTCGTTCCCCAAGTGGTGGGGGAATGAACCCAGGCAGGCTGGGAGCCAGCACTCCTGACTTTGCAGCCCTTCTCCGTGGTTGAGAGCAGGTGCAGTAGGATTGGACCCTGGGGCAGCAGGATGTAGGAATGCAAAAGCCAGTGTGGTGGCATGAATAAAGTACTGGGCTTGCGGGAGAGACCTGAGTTCAAATCCCTCACAAGTCATGAAGCTCACTGGGCAAATAGCTTGCCAGTTTCACCTGTTTTCAAGGGTTATTGTGAGAATAAAAGCAACACCTATTTTGCTTTGAAGAGTTGTGTAGAGATTTTTCCACCACCAAGTGGCCAGGTGGTCTTCAGTGGGGCTGGGGAAGCTGTGGCTTCCACCGTTCTCAATCATTAGTTGGGCTCAGGTTGTGCCTGATGGGAGTCCAGCAACACTGGGGGCCACAGCGGTTCCCTGTCCCTGGTGTTCAGGAGTCATCCAGTTTTTCTTCTAAACCAAGGTGACCTCCATGCTGGAGAGCCACACACACGTGAGGACAAAGTGGGGAAAAGTTGTGAGATTGTGTTGTTAGCCCCAAGGGACTGAATCATGGGACCAGAAACCAGTGGGGCTGAAGCAAGGGACATGGCCTTCGAAGAGCATCTGCCATGGATTTGCCACAAGCCCTGATCCCTTTTTGAAAGGAAGAGCTTTTGTGAGAGATGCTGCTCACAAGCGGAGCCCCTGGGCTTTCAGCCATCGCTGACACTTGCTGTTCTCTTTCTGCAGTACCTTCTCCACTACTTGTTGTCCCTGAAGCACTGGATGAACCGGCACAGCTGGGATCGAACCCCAGTGGCCGTGGCAGCCTGGGCCTTGCTGCGGGACAGCTACCACGGGCCTCTGTGCCTGCAACACCCCCCTCAGCATATCGCTGCATCCGTCCTTTACCTGGCCCTGCAGTGTTACGGGGTGGAGGTGCCTGCTGATGCTGAAGCAGAGAGGCCTTGGTGGCAGGTAAGGGTGCGGGAGTGAGAGGTGGGTGGGCCGCTGGCGGGGCAAGCAGTCGGGTATCCCCCTTCAGCTCGACCTGGACCTGGACCTGGACTCTTGTCTTGGAGCTGGCCCACGCAGTATCCTCCTTCCTTCTTAATGGTCCGTTTTTATCCTGAATCAGAAGTATATAGTGCCACCCATTGGCTACTGTGCCTCTGCAGTCACATGGACTCCATGCTCCACACCAGCCACTTCCCTGCCTGTTGTACAGTCATACCTCAAGTTGCGTTCCACTCTTGTTATGGACTTTCAGCTTACGAACGCAGCAAACCCAGAAGTGTTTACTTCTTGGTTCGCCGCATGTGCAGAAGCGATCTGCGCACTTCGTGCACATGCAGAAGCGTTTGATCGTGCCGCGCACATGCACAGAAGAAGCGCTCTAGTTGCGGACTTTTCAGGGTGCGAACGGCACCCTGAAATGGATTAACTCTGCAACTAGAGGTACCACTGTACAGGGATGTGCTAGGCCTGGGAACCAGCACAGGGGGAGGTTGCAAGCCTGCCCCTGCTGCTCATCAGATCCTCCTTCAAGCTTTGGTGTGCTCTTAAGGGACAACTCAGGATTCAGAGGCCAAATGATGCAGGATGCAGGTGATCTGCAGTCCTCCCAGTTTTTTATGGGAAAAAGTAAAAAGGCAGATCAGCCACAGGACCATTGCACTGGATCAGGACTGGGGCACTAGGGAGCTGCTGCTGCTGCTGCTGCTTTGTATAAAAGCCCTTTCCCATACCTTGTCTGCTTGGTTCAAGTGTGCCCCCCCCCCCACCAGCTGCCCTTTAAATTGTAAGCCTGAGGGCAGGACAATCCCTTGTTTGCTTTAAATAAATTGACCACATATAAAATAATAAATTGACCCATGGAACAAAACATTCAAGTTCCATATGGGGCAAACAGTAGCTGTGTATCAGTTTCAACTGGGGAAAAGTTTGTGTGTGTGTGTGTGTGTGTGTGTGTGTGTAGGGGAGTTAATTCCGCCTCCCATTCCGCCGGGTGCAGCCTATGAATTTGTCATTTAAAAACCCCATGGGAGGTCCCAAGCACAGATCTCTGCAAATTCATCTTGTTGCATCCAGAGACTGGAGCACATCCTTGCTTCTCTTTGGTGAGAGGAATGGTCACCAGTGCTCTCCTCCCCCCAATAAAGGTTCCAGTACTCACTATGAAGTTACAACACACACAGAGAAATGGGAGTGGGGAGAGGGAAATGGAGGACTTTCCCAATATCTGCAGCCATTTTACAGATTCTCTCCACCCCCCCCCCAATATTTAATTCTTAAGCGAACATGTGATACGTGTAGCCAATCGGAAACGCACCTATTTCCTACTCAGCTACTAAATAATCTTCATACTCCGGAGCTGTGACAAATTCCAAATATATTGGAGCGCTGCAAAATGCATGCGGCAAAGGAAGCCTAAGGCTTTCCCATAAGGTGGGTAGGTAGCAATTGAGCAAAGGCGGAGGGTGGTGGCAGAGGAGGAAATTCTCCCGCATGAAGCAACAGAGTTTCAAGGCGCTGGGGAGGCAAAGAGGTTGGAGATGGGCTTCACCAGCTTCAATGCTCGTCAGGAAGTGGGAGCAGCTAGGTCTTGGAAGAGGGAGACAGGGGCGCCCACTTTGGTGCTGCCAAAACCAAAGCTGCCGCCGCTTCTGCTGCCCCTGGAGCAGACTGGGACGACACAGCAGCCTGCTGGGAGTGGTGGCTTTGGACCTGGCAGGTTGGCCTCTCCAGGGGGCCCATTGTATTTTGGCAGCGGCGGCAGCTGCTGTTAGGCGACTCCTCATCTTGCCCTTTGTCATCCTTCTCGGACTCATTCCTCTTCCACACAGAACATTCTGCTTAGGCCCAACCGCCCCTGGTGCACGGGAAGGAGCTGCCCAGAAAAAAGGGAGCGAGGCAGAGCACAACCACCACAGCAGCCCGGAGAGCGTGCACACACTGCCGCCCGCTCCTCAACTCACTCCCTGCAGCTGCATCAACACCACCACAGCCCGGGAGTTGTCACAGTGCCCCCTTCCCCTTTCTGCCATGGGGGAGGTGGGGAAGTAGCTGCTTTCTGTGGCTATGAAACACTTCCCTTCGTCACTATAGATGGTGGCAAGATCAGCCACCAGGGTGCAGACTATAGAAATCTTGTTATTAAACATACCCAAGAAAAAAGCACACCAAGAACTCAGGCCAGTGTAAGTTTCAATAGTGGGAGTGGTCCCTACTCGCAAATCAATAGTCAATAGTAACAAAAACTAATTCATTCAAGAGTATATATTCTGACAAGGATTACAAACTCAAATAGAGATTACAAACTCTAACAGAGATTACAAACTCAAACTCATAAAAATATGTATAACACAATAATTCATTACAGAATTAGAGATAAGAGTTTATGAGTAGATATAAGTTCATGATAGTCCAGATTCGTCGTGGAAGTCTTAGTTTCAATCACTGAGCAGAAGTCAGTTATGGATTAGAAACCAGGACAGGGCCCTGTTTCGATGCATTCACCTTCATCAGCTAATTTTTAAAGGGTCGTGTAAGTTTGAAGACTTTTGGATAAATATATCCTGTTATTTTCTACGATTCACAAGGATAACAAGTGTGGGTAATCTCTGTTTGTAATCTCTGTTACAAACTTACACTGGCCTGAGTTCTTGGTGTGCTTTTTTCTTGGACTATAGAAATCTGCCATCTTGAGCCTGCAGAAGCATTGTGGGGAGTGAGGGAGAGGAAGGGTTATTAAAAGTGGTTCTGGTATTAGACTAGTGCAATGTAGTGGAAGATTTTTTTTGGGGGGGGGGGAGGGAGGAGAGGTTCAGGTATGGTGTACTGGCAGAAAAAAGCACTGTCCCAACTCCTCCTTAGAACATCTTGCAGAGTGTAGTAGTGTGTTGAAGTCACAAATCCTGTATCTCGGTTTTCTTTGCGGGTGTGGGCAGCATTAGTTGTGGCAAATCGTCACTCTAACAGGGGCAGGACCTGCTGTTTTCTCTGCTTAGGATGAGGATTTGCACTGGTGTAGCTGTGAGCATGAGAAGGGTACTCTCAACCTCACTTTTCAAAGACATGGTTTGCCACCTCTCAGACTTTTGGAGGAACTCCTACAGAGCCTCTGAGATAGGAGATGTTGGATCAAGACCTGGTGTTTTAACTTGAGTGATGTCATTAAGTCACTCCTCTTGGAGGTAGAACTCCTGTCCAGGTACGGGAGTTTTTGTGAACTCAAGGGGATAGGCGAGAGAGGCAGGGTCCTGCGTGGTTGACAATTAAGGCTGGAGACAGAAAATAGCTTAAAAATAAATAAGCAGCTGAAGGTGACCTGAGAGAAGCTTCACTTCCATAGTGCTTATGCACATTGCTTTTGTCTTCCTGTTCCCTCTAGTGAAACAGGTATCCAAAGCCTGTTGCAGAGTTGAAAATAGGCAGAGTAAACATACCACAAAAAGCAATCTACCTTTCCAATCACTGTAAACTGGAAAACCACCACCACCACCTGTTTCCACCTTAGTGACTTCCCTTCTCTGCAGAACCTTTTCCTTCCTACCTGGTTCCTTATGAGGAACAGTTGAAGGAGCTGGGTATGTTTAGCCCAAAAAAGAGGAGACTGAGAGGTATAATAAAGGTAAAGGGCCAGCCATTAGGCCCAATCGTGGCCGACTCTGGGGTTGCAGTGCTCATCTCGCTTTATTGGCCAAGGGAGCCGGCGTACAGCTTCCGGGTCATGTGGCCAGCAGGACTAAGCTGCTTCTGGCGAACCAGAGCAGCGCACGGAAACGCCGTTTACCTTCCCGCCGGAGCGGTACCTATTGATCTACTTGCACTTTGACGTGCTTTTGAACTGCTAGGTTGGCAGGAGCAGGGACCGAGCAACCCGAGCTCACCCGGTCATGGGGATTCGAACCGGCGACCTTCTGTTCGGCAAGCCAGAGAGGCTCAGTGGTTTAACCCACAGTGCCACCCGCATCTCTGAGAGGTATAATAGCTACCTTCAAATATCTCAAGGGCTGTTGGGTGGAAGAGGGAACAAGCTTATTTTCTCCTGCTCTAAGGTAGGAGAATGGATTTGAGTTACAAGAAAGGAGATTCCTCGTAAGCATCTGGAAGACCTTCCTGACAGCAAGAGCTGCTTGACAGCAGAGCGGTCTCGCTCGCTTGGGAGGTGGTGACCTCTAATTCCTTGCAGGTTTTTAAGCAGAGGTTAGATGGCCATCTGTCATGGATGCTTTAGCTGAGATTCCTGCATTGCAGGGCGTTGGACTAAGTGATTCTTGGGGTCTCTTCCAACACTACAATTCTATTCTGGTTTTCTCTCCTTCTAGGTGTTCAGCGAAGATCTCTCCAAGAATGTCATTGACCAGATTGTCTTGGACTTGATCCAGATTTATACTCTGGATACAGAAATTTCTTAAGTATATCGGGCCGTAAGGAGTAAGCTTCAGCGTCCCAAGTCGACTGGTCACTTTAAGTGGGGTTGAGGTGATAGTGTTGCCACCTCAAAACACACCAAATTTGTATCCTGTTTTTTTTGAGCGACCCAGTAGAACAGAACGGGCTGGATTGGTGTTTGTGTCTGGATAGACTGTGTTCTGTGGTGTCCCTGAATCCCTCTCCAGCCTGGAATTAGTCTGAAGCCTTTGATCCTCTACTCCCAACTTGGTGCCAGCTCAGAGTCCATGGGGAAAGAACATCATGGAGAAGGAACCTGTTGCCTCCCTACTACAGGTGAAACATGTTGCCAGGATATTTCCCCCACCTGTTTCTGGAATGGTTCCCCAAAGCTTCAACGTACCAGTCATAGATCTTGGATGAAGTACCATGACTCCATGACATCTGACAAAGACTCCACTGCTGTGAATGCCTTAATTCCAGAGTAAGAAAAATTCATGGATGAACTATGGCTGCCAGTGAATAGAAAAAAATGGCACCACTCATTTCAAACCTCATCATGCCCCCTGCAGTTCTTTCCTCCCAGTGTTAAAAACTCAGACATATAAACTAGGAGCCAATTGGCACCTTGAATCCAGGTTGCGGTTGCCCCAACAGAATGCCTCTTCACCAGGGGGTTGAACTAGATGACCCGAGCTCCATCTGACAAATTGAAATGTTGGCACTGATTGAACAGTCAGAAGTTCAATCCTTGAGTTCTTCCCTTTGCTCTTTCAAAACTCTAGAACTCGAGTTTCGTCCAGTTACACGGCAGTATCTTCAGGACATGCCAAAGTCTGTATGCTGATAGCACAAAATAATTAACGTGAGATTTATTGCCATGGAATGTGATGGCTCTTAAAAAAGATTAGGCAGATTCATAAAGCCTTGGACTTTCACTGCTATTAGCCTTGGTAGCTACTGGATGCCTTACTGGGAGCAATTCATAAATAAAATTAATTATAATAAGTAATGTGTCCACAGACAGTATACCTGCTGAGTGCCGTTTCATTCTTATACCTCTGCCTGTTCCACTTGGGGTGGGAGTCAATTCTCCATGCTTCATAATGGCCAGATAACAATTGTTAGCCGGTCCTAATGTGGCAGAGAAAGCTCAGGGAGGCTGCCTGCCTTTGGCAGCGAGACCAGTGTGGGCCAACTTTCAAGGACATGCTGCAAGTCAGGTCGAAATGGTGAGCCACTGCTGCTGCCATGTCCACTACAGTCACCCCCCCATTTGTGGTTTGGGGTGGTTTTGCCCCCACCCTGCTGTGAATGAGCGGAGGCAGATGCCAGGAGAGCCCTTTCTAGGGCATAGCTCTTGCGCCAAAGCCCCCTGCTGCCTGTGCCACTGAGGGCTGCCAGCTCACCACTTGCTAACTAGATCTCTTCCAGATTGACCTCTCATTGCAGTACATTTGCAGCTCAGCTCCTGCATGTCTGCCATATTTCTACTTTAGTATATTTCTACTTTAGTGACACACATCCTGAACTTGTAGGAATGACTCTTCAGTCTTCAGTGGCCCATGGAAGCAAAAATGGTATTTCTTCATCTCTAGGGTGAATGCCCTTTATACTTTGTATTAGAAGTCAGAATGGAAAACCAGTTCAGTTTTCAAATGGAAGTGAACTTAAGGACTGAGGATGTGTGTGCTTCTAGTCCCCCCACCTGTGGTGTGTCTTCCAGACCTGGCAATACCCTTAGCCAGCATACTCTAAGAGACAATCTACAGAGAGTATTGTCAGGCATCAAGTGGAGAGGATGCTGGAAGTGGAGGTGTAACAAAGGAAGCATCTGCTACTGGTTAGAACAAGTTGGACTAGCCACACGGGGTTGCAGAGAGACGTGCTCCAGCTCTTGGTTCTAGCAAGCCAGCCACCCCCCCTCTCCCCACCACTGTCAGTCAGCATCTTGTGTCCCACATTGCATACTTAGTTTTCATTGTTTTGGGACCCCCTTCTGCTTTTAGGGTTTTTTTCTACAGTTTTTTTGGGACAGTGGATGGAGCTTACTATTAGTGTATTAGTGTAACATACTCCTTAGGATGGAGGAGAGTGGGGAAAAAGGTTTACCAAACTTACGCAAACTCTAGGTCCCTTATGGATGGTCCCCAGTGTGGTCCACTTGACACTGATGGTGGTAGCAGCCAAAGAAAGGAAATAAACTACATATTACTTATTACAGCCCATTGCATTTTGAGAAAAAGTCCTATATCAAAGGCACTGTAAATGTACAAATAACAAGAAGGATAACTGGTACAAAATGCAATAGATTATCATAAATGCCTTTTAAAATTTATCCGATACCCAAGTTCAGTGGTTTATATACAGTGGTGCCCCGCAAGACGAATGCCTCGCAAGACGAAAAACTCGCTAGACGAAAGGGTTTTTCGTTTTTTGAGGTGCTTCGCAAGACGAATTTCCCTATGGGCTTGCTTCGCAAGACGAAAACGTCTTGCGAGTTTGTTTCCTTTTTCTTAAAGCCGCTAAGCCGTTAATAGCCGCGAAGCCGCTAATAGCCGTGCTTCGCAAGACAAAAAAACCGCAAGACGAAGAGACTCACGGAACGGATTAATTTCGTCTTGCGAGGCACCACTGTATTACTTGTACATTTACAATGCTCTTGATAATTCCCCCCCAAAAAACAAATTGGGCTTACAAACAATATTTTGTAGCACTTGTAGTTTATTTCTCCCCCATTTTTGCTTGAAAGTGTTGCTATCCTGGGACTGTGGCTGGTTTTCTGCTTTCGCTTTGGGTAGCAGCCTGGTCTTGTTTTAATAATCAAGTCGTTAAAGCAGGCTTTGTGATTTTTGGATGGCCTCTTCCATTTGGACAAATGTACAAGCGCTTTTTTTAAACTTATTTATTATTATTATTTATTATTATTTTTAAAAAACCTTTCACCCTCTCCCCCTTTTTACTATGATTTAGGAAAAAAAATATCCCCAATGAAACGGAATCCCCCCTCCCTTAGAAGGAATGCCCTTACCCTCCCACACTTGTGAAATAGCAGAAACTCACTGATAAACACCTGGCAAATTTGTACAGCAGCAAAGTGATCTCTTTTTTGTTCGGATGGGGTGTGTGTGTGCATATATAAGCCCAGACTGGGACTAAAGCTTTCCTTTGGTGGCCCATTCCGTTTACTTGAAAATTAAACACTTAAGATTTCCATTTTTATTTTTTTCCCCTTTAAACACTCAGATGAGGAAAAAGAAACTTTTTTTTTGTTTTCGTTGTTTTTCTTGGAAAGAAAAGATGACGACAAAAAGATTTACAGATGGGTTTGGCATTTGCCCTTCCGAAGAAGGGATGGCTTTTCTGACAGTGCTGCAGCTGGTATTTTCAAGCAGGTTTGCCCTGGGAAAACGCAGAGTATGTTCCACAGTTTCTAAATATTACAGACTTTTAGTTACATATTTTTTATATGCGGAGAAAGCTGGGGCTGCAAGGGGTTGAGGGCGACTCATCTTTGCAGCAAAAGACAAAACAGTCTGGTCAGGGACAGCACCCATGAATCCTGACTCCTTCCCCATCTCTCCCTGGCTGCTGTAGGTACAGCTCCTTTGTCACCATGTGTGACAGAACTATGAATGGTTCTTTGGTGGCCTCTATGTAGCCCCACATTGCGGAACTGTATCAGTGCAGACCACGGCACCAGATACTTGTAAGAAACTCTCAGCATCCGCAAAAGGGTGCTGGCCCTTCATTTAAGTTCAGTGGTTGCACTCTGCCCAGATCCGTGCTTGCTGCCATGGAGAGCCAGTGGCAGTTAGGAGCTTTTCACAGGGTCTTTCTGGCAGGAATGTTGTATAACTGAGGTTAAGATAAGCTGGTTTGGTTTGGAAGAAGATGAACGCAAGCTTAACCTGGTGGAAGCCAGTATTCTCTCTGGGCAATAAAGGCGTTTTTCTGACCTTATGACACCATGTGCTACTGTGCCGTGAACCTCAACTTTTCTTTCTCTGCCCTCGCCTGCTAGACCAAAGGTTCTCTAAGCGAGAGCCAATGCAGTGCATCCATCCAATAGCACGTCAGAGTTAAACAAGGGAAATCACACCCAGCCATGGAAGCTACTAGGTGGCCTCTGATACGGCATGAGATTCTTGATCTCAGGATCGTGCGCTTGATCCCACCTTGGGCAAAAGACTGCTGCAATTTTGGACTAGATGGTCCCTTTCAACCCTAGGATTCTATGAACTCATTCTCTAACTCTTTGTCCTGATAGGATTGTTGCAGGACTAACAGAGAATAATGCGCTATAGGCTACCCTGATCCAAGAGGAAGAGTGGGATATTAACGAGCAAAGAAAACATTACCTCCTCACCACCTCCTCACAGCACTTGTCTGTGCATAGGATCAAGGTAGCATGTGAGCCAGGAATACACACTGTTCAGCAGCCGGAATCTCTGCCACCTTCAAACGGTTGCCTTAGGATTTTGGCGTACGAGGCAGAAATGTGTACAAATGGTACGCATTCTCTACTGCTAACTAGTATGAGGCACAGCCCACCAGGTCATTCACCTAAACGGGCTGAACAGTAATGCATGGGAGCTGCAAGAAAAGGCAGCAGTGCTCTCTTTTCTCTGTGCGGCAGACCAGCTTCCCAGTGCGTTGGGCCTCATGGACCTGTCTCCCACCTTGTCACTCCTAAGGGCACCCCAGTCCTCGCTGCCATGGTACCTTTGGGATCTTCTCTGATTGTGGGGATTGCAGAGGCTGAATTTGTGGGTTCGTGGCTCCCATGGTACACAACTGTGTGAAGGAAAAAATAGTGAATGGAAATGCATGAAGTCTCCTTAAGGAAAAGTGGAATTCTCTTAATAACCTTGTTTCTCCCAGCCCAGCATTTGCAGGTACTGTCATTGGGTCTGGAGATATGCAGTCCTTGAAACCAGTGTAAAAGGAAAAGCATTATAACATGACTAAACTCTGGAATAAAACTGAATATAAATCAGCATTATTAAGTAAAAATGAGTGGAAGCCAGAACTGCTCGATGAGTAGTCATTAACTGCTGGCTGCTAAGCCTGCATGCTTTCAAATGTCTTTCCACAACCATGAGGGCTAGAAACCTATTCCTTCATTTTGGGCACAAAATATAAGATTATCAGAAATACAACTTCTTTGCCAGTCTGATCAATGCTTTGAATGAGAAATTTCAAATATCAAGAAAGTGGTTGCTTTCTTTCTTAGTAGATTAAAAAAAAGTAGTTCCATCTTTATCTTTCTCCCCCTTCTAAACAGTCTCTTTTGCTCAGATATTTATTGGAAGCTGGTCAAAATTACCAGCTTTAGGAAGCATTTGGATTGAGAGTACTTCCAGGGAGGGGGCTTGGTGGGCAGTACACCATTTCAGGGAGGCCTGCTTTGGGTCAGTTTCTGGATAACTGCCTGAAAAGGCCCAAATTTTTGCCAGTGCAACTAGACTCTTAATTTCCGCCACTCTGCATCTGTGCAAGACCCAGCCCATCAGGGCTTCTGTTACTGTACTCAGCAACTGCCCCACAGTCAATTCCCACTCCCAAGAGGAAATAATCAGTGTTCTTTCCCCGGCAAACCCTGATATAAAATACAAGCTACAGCAAGCAATGATCTTTTTTTAAAAAAAACAAAACAAAAACAGATTTGCCCCAGGCTGAAATTCCCTTGGGGGAGAGGGGAAAGGAGAAAAGAGGGTTTGATAACAGGCATGCGTTATGGTCAGAAGGTCCGTTAATACATCTGTTGGTTGGTATCATATATATATATTTAGGATAATAGATGTCTAGATTATTCCTCTTTTTTCCTTTTTCCTTTTTTTTTTGTTCTTTTTCCGGTGCAAATATAGTTCCTTTTTTAAACTTTTTTTTGGGGGGGAGGGGAAACCTGAAAAGAGGTCCCAGAAATAAATCAAAGCAACCCCCAAACGGGGGGTTATCGTGGGTTCGGTGAGTGTGTTTTGTGTCCAAAGAGAAACGAAGAACAGACTAGAGAAATGGGTGGTTGTTTTTTTTCCTGTACACCCTCCGGGACTCAGCCACAAACCCCTCATGGGTGATTCTGAAGAAAACTTTTCTCCCCCTTCACAGTTTGTCTATCGCTTTTCATTGCATCCATTCAGTTTCTCGTCTTCATTTGCCTGAGCCAACCAGTGGCAGAAACCGTGTCCATTTCCACCCCGTTAAGAGAAAAAACCTCCAGTGTCAAGAGGAGAAACGCCATCTCCTGCCCGCTTTCTTTCCTGACTCACTCAGCTAGTCCTTGTCTCCCAGGAGGAACTGAGCACCCCTGCTGTGCACAAAGTCATTTTGACTGGTTGCATGGTGGGGTTGTGTTAGAGGGAAGTTTCCATGCTGTGGAGCGGGCTAACAGGGCTGGACGAGGAGGTAGGTGTCTTGCTGGCATCCGTGCTTAGGTAGATGCCGCTGTCAATGGCGTTGTTGTTCTTGTTGGGGGATGGTGGGGGACTGGCCCGGAAGCGCCGTCTCGGGGGACCCTCGCTCTCCTCCACGTCTGTATCATCAATGAGGGGGATGTTGTGGATGTAGTCGTTGATCAAGAACTCGGGCGTTGTCATGAAGTTATGGATGGAGGTCTTCGTATCTGGCTTCTCCAGCCCTTCGTAGAGGGAACTACGGAACGCTTTCACTACGCGGATCTGCAGGGAAGGCCAAGAGGAAAGAGAAGAGAGAGAATGAGAGCTTGACTCTTGAGAGCTGGAACTAACGCCAGGCCACATTGGTGGGACTTGCTAACTTTGTCCTTTGCCAAGCTGGCTTGGTCAAGGAGAAGGCTGAGGAGAAGGGATAGGACCTTGCAGTCCTAACACTTAACTTTCCTCCTCATTCCAGCCCATGTGAGTGCAGGCCAAGCATTGTCAGTGGTTCTCCAGGGTTTCATAAATATCTCAGGTGAATTTGTTTTCAGCCCTGCTAGCTAATTGAGGGCACTTCTATGCTACAAAACAGCATATATCAGCTTTATACCAGTTTAACTGTCATGGCTTCCCTCAGCAAATTGAAGCACAGTGAGGGGGCTAAGAATTCTGTATGCCCCTAATTCCAATTAAAGAGTTACGATTTCATGGGAATGACTGTTAAGCCAGGATAAGTCTGTGGTGTTGTACATTTTAAGGTGATGGTAACTTGGACGTAAGCTAAGCCATACAAATGTTGCGTGCTGCATAAGCTCTGCTCTGACCCACCTTTCATAGGCTATAAGCAGAAGCAAAGAGGCCAAAGAAAGGCTTGTGCAGCTTTATACTGTTCTTGATATCACCTCCCGCCACCCTACTTCATTTTCTTTGGCTCCTAAGTCCCAAGGCCCGACTCAAAGCTGGTGGAAAGAGCGGACAACCAGCCCCTCTGCTTTCTTAACTATAACCAGTTTCCGTGTGTTTTGTTGTTCTTTATTTTCCATTTCCTCGCCATACCTGGGATATTATTTACGATTCCTGGTGGACATTGATGGAAGGGGTGATTGGGGAGAAAGGTGAGGGGGACTAAAGGAGCCCTCATCAGCAGTGAAGAACTAAAAAAACTAAAAGGGATGAGAAGAAGAATCAATAGAAAAAATGGCAAGTGCGGATGGTTAGAACAGGAATGGGGGAGGGTGTTATGTGGCCAACATTTTTTTATTGGGTGAAACAATCTAGTGGCTTTGTAAGGGACAGACAGTGGAGGGTGGAAATGAATTTAATCTAAAGAAAGTGAGAGAACGGAAAAGAAATTGTGTGTGTGTGTGTGTGTGTGTGTGTGAAATCCTCTACACTCAGGAAAAATCCTGAACTTTTTCTTTTGGGGTACAGCATTTCATACCTGCTCTGTTTCTTTGCTGCTTGTTTCCCCCCATCTTCTCGCCCCTCAGTCTGGCAATTGACACAGGCGTTTAAAATTCTGTTGGGCTCCCCTTAATTTCCTCAGAGTTGAGAACATAGCAGCTAATTTACCAAAGGTGACAGGGGAGTAGCATTTGATTTCCCAGCTTCAGAAAAAAGCTTAAAATATTCTCAGCCTGTCTGGTTTCACGAACGGAATGAACCTGCTGCCTCTTTCAAGGAAGGGCTGGGGGGAAATGGCCCCAAAATAAACAAGCAGTGTGCTTACTGCCATGTCCATCTTAATCAGCCCTGCAGTGCTTTGTGGGTAAAAATCCTACACAATTCTGCTCCTAGCTCAAAATTTCTGGTGAGTTTTGGTGTGGGAGAAGGGGGAACACTTTTTCTCCCATGAGAGAGGAGTGGCTCATCTTGATTAGGAAGCTGGTGGTGGACAAGAGACGCATAATGCCCAGTGAGCAAAAGAAGTAGGACAGAAGCACAACACTCTAGGGCAGCACATGCAGTTGGGTGCCTTCATGCCACATCATGCTTTAGGGGCCCAGAATCCAGTTCCTGTACCCAGGAGATGGGGTGGGAAGGATCAAGCTGAGGAGAAGGCCTAAAAGAGAAAGACAAAAAGCAACAAAGCAAAACCCAGAACCCCAGCACAATTCGGAAGCATGCAGGAAAGGCAGAAATACTGGGTCATATGCTGAAAGGTAGCTAAGCAAATAAGAATGGAGCTTAGAGAGAATATGGTATTTGAAGGTCTGAGGCTCCTAAATGCTCTTTCCTCCATTGGGAACGATGTGCGGCTATTATGTGAGAAGAGAACCATTTTAGGTTCTACAGTCAGCAATGAGAAAAATATGGTTCTGTTGCTGTTCATGGTAAAGCAAGGAGTCCTACAACCGACTTTCAGCTTTGCACAGAAAGTGAAAAACAAAACTAGAACCCAACATTTTAATGTGGCTGCTCGGAGTAAACTTTTAGTGAATACACACGATTTTTTGCTGGGTGGTAAGGTACTAGATGGTGCACACAACCATTTGGTAAGCCCATTGTTTCTATTGTTCTGCCAGGTTGTGAGGAAAATCTTCATACTTATCAGAAACCCAGGAAATAAGGGGAGAGGTAAAATTTGTGTTAGCACATGATAAAACCATGCTGGCTTAACAAGTGGTTACATGCACACTGGTAAATTACCAGCTAGTAAATGGTCAGCTACATGAAGGGAAAGGGGGCAAGTTCCTATGCAATTGTGTAGTCATGAATGTAGCAGGTGCTACATTCTACTTAGGCCTCTCTGGGACTGGGAGTGGAAAGATTTGTTTTAGCATCATATAATAAATCTAAAAGACTAGGAATATGTCCAGTTTACTCTGTTCCATGCTGGCAATGTCATTATTTTGCTCTTCAACCCTGGCCTCTGATTAGTCAAAGAAGGTAATTATATCACCCTGGGTTATATCATGTTTCAGTCCCAGGTATCTTGGTTGCCTCATTACGTGTTTAACTTGACATTATCTGTTGAGCCTTTCCCCCCTTAGGGTAACACTGTGCCCCTGCCATGAGGTAAAGTGAGCTTGTTGCCTCAGGCAGATTTTGTGCACCATTAAGGGCAGCAGAGTTGGAGACCAATCCAAAGCATGAAGCTCAATCCACCAGGATGTTCTCATGCACAAGTCCCACTAAAATGAAGAACTGCTTCATAATGACACAATGGTTCATTTCAAAAGGGTGTGAATATGAGACATTTTCAAGGTTAGTTAGCAGGAGGGAGGCCATGTTGTTTTTCCATCTCAATATGTCTTTGGTCAGCCTTGTCTACCTTAAACATTGCTCTCCTTTTTGGTTTCATGGCTCTTTCTTGCTCCCTGAACTGTTGGCAGTTGACTATCTTGGACCAGTGACCTCTCGCATATCGCCATCTACAGGGCAAGTTTTAAACGTTTCCGAGCACAGTTCAAAGTGTTGGTGCTGACCTTTAAAGCCCTAAACGGCCTCAGTCCAGTATACCTGAAGGAGCATCTCCACCTCCATCGTTCTGCCCGGACACTGAGGTCCAGCGCCGAGGGCCTTCTGGCGGTTCCCTCGCTATGAGAAGCCAAGTTACAGGGAACCAGGCAGAGGGCCTTCTCGGTAGTGGCGCCCGCCCTGTGGAACGCTCTCCCACCAGATGTCAAAGAGAACAACAACTACCAGACTTTTAGAAGACATCTGAAGGCAGCCCTGTTTAGGGAAGCTTTTAATGTTTAATAGGTTATTGTATTTTAGTGTTCTGTTGGAAGCTGCCCAGAGTGGCTGGGGAAAACCCAGCCAGATGGGCGGGGTATAAATAATAAATTATTATTATTATTATTATTATTATTATTATTATTATTATTAACTGGTGATTGTTTGGGTTCCCCCTGTCAAAGAAGGTAGACTGCCAATCATCATACTGGAAAGACCTAAATCACTCTCAGAACTACATTTCTCAGAGTTCCTTAGGCAGTATCCCACGAGAGGCAAAAAGCTTTTGGGGGGCTGGTGGGGGGGAGAGGGTTTTTTTTAGTAGATAAAGACCTAAAGGGCAAAGGGTAAAAAGCAAAAATAAAACAGCCCTCCATGCAGCATGTCTTCATGTGCAGTTTGCCTCTAAAACCTGAAGCATCCCTGAAACCAGGGATGCATCACCTTTTCTCTGTCCGGTTCAAATTGTCATAAATGGGTATTGTAACCATACTGTATGTAGCTCACAGGAGAGTTGAGAGGATGGATTCAATCAGACCTACATAATTTGTAATTCACCAAGCCAGCCCTCGAGCTTCCTGTTTTTGGTATCTGCCTGTTTGTGTCAAGTATCTACCAACTGGTGGTATCTACACAGCTGGTGGGCTACATTCAATTTGCAGGGCCAAAGGCTGTGCAGAGCTGAATGAAATGGTGCTTTTTCCCTCTTAAGAAGGGATGGAAACACAGGATTATTACTGGGGCAGGAAGGGAATCAACTAAAACAATTTGAGTTTTGAAATAGGAATATTGGTCGGGGGAGGGTTGTTTAAAGGAAGCTGGTGATGCCATCAGACTACATTCCTAAGCAAGGCATGGACCCACTTGGAGTGCTGCCCTCTTAGGAAAAGGTCCCAGTGTTGTGCTGTGCAGATGGGAAAGCAAAGTGGTGGATGGTTTGCAGCTGCTGGTACATATAGCAACGCCCCCCCCCCATGCACCACTGGGAGAGTGCAAGTTTTGGATGGAGGAAGTGGAGATGAGGAAGGAGGGGTTGCTTTCATGCTGCAAGAAAACCAGGGCAGAAAACCCCAAACTGTGACTTCAGAGAAGCAAAACAGCTCAGACAGACAGACAGACAGACAGACAGTGAAAGATGCCTCCAATCACAGCCTCAGGACACGAAGTGAAGAAAGACCCATGCATTGCTGCAACAGTACGGTAAACTTTCGAGTATTGAGGCCCATCCTTGCTGTTTTGGGGAGGAGACAAGGGAAGGGAGGATTATGAGTTCATGCTGTGCCACTGGTGCCTCCGTCCATGCCCCACAGGCTACCCTCTTGCCCCTGCCCCAAAGCGGATGGTAAGACACAGAAAAGAAAGATGAGCCAGCAGGTTGAGGGAAAGCAGCAGGTGAGGGGGGCAGGATAGGACCCTTTTGGAACATAAGGGCTCAAGACACTGGGTATATAGTGGAAATACATATGATTTAGCTCTGCACTAGCAGTTCAGGAAAGGTTACAAAACCCACTGCTAACACTCCCCCCCCCGACATGTCTGAATTCCAGACATAAACTGATCAAGTAGCAGATCTGCTTCTGGGAAATTGCAGTTCTCTGACAGGA